GATTTCATCGAAAGCTATACTGAAATTGGCATGGCTATATTTAAAGGAGCAAATTCCGATTTGTATATCAAACCTCCGATGTGAAAAGCAGACAATACTATATAATAATAACAACATCCGAATTTAATATTAACAAAGATCGGCCATTAAAAATTGGTATTTCCGACTGATGTATCGGATTTTATTAAAAATCGGCATAAATGGGCAAATCTATACATAAATACGCGAAAAATCAGCATGTATATGCTAATATCGGCAAAACTATTTTAAAAGGGTCAAAATCCGATTTTTTTTCATTCGACCTGTGAGCAGTAAACATTTTACAATTATAACAAAGTGTCCATGCAGTTCGATTTTGATCTAATACTCGATTTAGATATGGAACTGCTGATGGATAATTATTTTTCAATTTTTCCCAATAGAAATTAAACTTTTTAACATTAAAACTGTTTCGTGCTTGATAAATATCTTTATGAAATTGAGTAAAATTTGATCCAAGAACACTTTTTAATTTCTTTTGAATATTTTGATTAATATGATAAATACAGATAAAATGTACTGTTGTATCCAAAACACTCTTAATAGCTCGAAACTTAGCGGGATCTCCATTAGTATATATTGAATATGGCACAATATTCCCAGTAGCAATTTTAATATTTTCATAAATCCATTTAAATGTTGCCTCAGTTTCATCATCAACTAAAGCACATGCAACCAATCTGGTATGATTATCACAGTCAATACAAACAATAATATTTAAGGTCAAATCATAGCGATTTTTTTTGTATGTTGAATTATTAATTACAACATCATGATATCATAACCAGAGTTGTTTTTGTGTTGGAGACATCCAAAATATTGAAGTAAGTCTTCCATCTGTTTTATCAAAACGAGCTTGATAATACCATTCTGGGTTTTTAATTTGATATTCTCTCAATAAATTAAGCAAATTTGTTGCATCATGTTGTAATACAGTAGGTGTTAAAGGTTTGCATTCTTGAATAGAATTATAAAGTGTCTTAGGATGTATATACTGTTGTGGATACTTTGCTTGCAGCAAATTTCGAATAATTTTAGCACCAATTGAAGGTCCACCATATGTCATATAAAATTTTATATCAGCCTTTATTTCTTCAGAAAAACGTCAGTATTTAGGTGAAGTCTTGTGTATTAATGGATTCAATGAATGATTGTGATCGTCATTATACGAAGTTAAATGAATTGCAGGAGATGTTTTAGGCCAATTCAAACTAGCTTTCCAGAGACATCCAATTGAATTTGAAGTACGTTGACGCTACTTTGATAAATCAGTTGCTTTATTTGGTCTATAATTACCTGAAAAAGTACATGAGTAAGTTCTTCTAACAAGGCGTTGTGAACTATCCTCTAAAGAAATATAATCTCCTCTGCATTTTCTTATAGCAAAACCTTTCGATAGTGCATATTCATCAAAAAATCTATTAACTTCCTCCCATGAGTCAAATTCTTTACCAATACTCAACACTTGTTCTTCATTTTCATTTTCTGATCCACTTTCGTAATCTTCATAATTGTTATCACCGGAACTATTATAAAGGAAGACTAAAAATATATATATGTGTAAATAAAGTTTCATTAGTATATAATTGATAGCTATTCCCTAACCCTAACCCTAATCCTAACCTAACCTCAACATTAACTTCTTATCCTAATCTAACCCTAACCCTAACCCTAACCCTAATTCTAATCCTAACCCTAACCCTAACCCTAACTTATCCTAACTCTAATTAACCAAAACCAAAAAAAAACTCTAGCAAATAAGAAGCATACTTATATCAGATTCTTGATCAAATTCAGCCATGTTAAAATTATGATATTAAAGGATAGTAGTGATATTAAAAATAAAAATGAATAAAATAAGTGAAAAAGGTGTATCATACGTTCTTTTTCATGCAATTTTATAAGAGTAAATGAAATATATGAATCAATGATAGAAATAAATGAGTAATGGAATAAATTTGCAAATGAAATAGAAGATGTAAATGAAACAAATGAAATGAAAGAGAAAGAGTGTAAGAAAGGCATGAGAAAAAGATTTAAAAGCTGATAAATCAATCAGTAGTATAAAAATAGTCTAAATATGACACGTAATCATCACATGACAAATTACGTAAATCTCTAAATTTTATAAAATTTAATTTTAAAAATTTAAAATTTAAAATTTTATTAAACTGATGGTTATAATAACCAGTGGTTAATCATAGTTATTACCTAATCTAAAATACTAAAATTAGAAGCATAATTAGAAGATCTAAACGTAACTAAAGTATAATATTTCCACAAATCTTCTATACCTATTTCATACCAAATACTTTTAGCTACTATATCGTTATTGATATAATACCCTGTCCATCTTTGTAAAGCATCATAAATAAAGAGTTTTCTTTTTTTCTCATCATGACCCAAACTAGGTAATGAAGATTGATGTAATTTACTCGCTTTTTTCATCTGTTTCGTTATGCCCTGTCTTAATTCCCATTCATTAAAACTTTTACATCGTTCACTCCACATGAATTTTCTAGCCATATCATGTATGTCCTCTACAAAACTTGCTATAGCGTCTTTAAAAATTTTATCCTCTATCTTTAGAAACAACCTTTTGTTAACTATTCCTTTAATAGCTTCATGAAAAATTCCACCATTAAATACCACTTTCGACTTTTCATTCAAAATGTGTAATAAACGTGCATGACAATTATAATAAATCCGAAAATCCTTCTCATCTAACTTAGCTTTTAAAGATTCAAAAGCTGTATTAATTATTTGAATAATAGACGTGTCTGCCTGACTACATATCCAAATATGTATCCATGTTTCAATTGTATAATTACAACGTATACATCTCCCACTTTGATATAATTCTGGATTACGTTTATTTAATAATGTTGCCACAGGTAAAATTTCAAAAAAATTTTTAATATTATAAGCATTATCAGAATTATTCTTATCTGTATTTTCTTCATTAAAAGCTTTCATAATAATTCTGATTGAACGAACCCAGTCAATCTTTTCTATTGAATTATTGAATCTATAATATCGACACACGTCTAAAGATAAAAATTCTGCTTTATAACTCCATTGATTATATAATTTATAAAACTCCCTTGGCGCCTCTTTAATTAATTCCTTTTTCCAATATAAATTATATTCCCAGTCTATCTCCTGATTCAACTTTATTATAATCAAATTTCTATCTTCTTTCGTCATTAACGCAATTTTACTCAACCCATCAGCCAATTCATTTCCTAAAATACCTGAATGCTTTTTAACTTTATAATAAACCAAATCCCACTCTAATTTTATCATCAACCATTTTAACCATCTCCATAATCCAATACTTTTAATGTTCCATATCCTTCTGGTCGACCATATTCTATTTTCTACTATTAATTTATACCATAAATCTAATACTACCTGACTATCCGTAAAAATATTCACCTTTGCACCCTTCATAATTATTAGTAATCCTATAATTATAGCTATTAATTCTAATTCCCATACCTCATATTTACCCTCAATTTTAAAACTTCCTTTACCAATAATGTTATTTTCATCCATAACAACCCATCCAATTCCATTGTCTCCATTTTTTTTACTTTCGTCCGTATATAAACTAATATTCTCTTGTTTAAAATCACCTAATTGCATAAATGCATTCTTTAATTCCAAAAGACCTCTACAATCTTCAAAACTCATTTTCATTATATTAAATCTATTATCAAATTCTAATAATTCTTCCAAGTCTCTTCCTATAAAATCTCTTTCTAACTTTTCCCAATAGTTTTCATAAACTATATTATTATTATATCTATTATACACTTCTCTTATTAATTCATAACCACTATGTACTTCTCTGCTATCATTTTTAATCATCTTTTTTTCTATTTCATTAAACCATAATGGTACTCGACCCTTACTACTACGACCAGCTTCTCCTGTAATTTGTCTCCATGTTTTTAATCTATTATTTTCATCTATTAACTGCGTCACATACATTATATTTACTGACTTTAAACTTCGAACACTGTTACTAAAAATTTTTTTCTCTATCATTTCATCTATCAGCGTTTGTCCTCCACTGGTCACGTGATCATGTATTCTACCATGATCGCACAATCTAAAATTATCATTTGCTAGCAGCTTTATCCCTTGCAATATTTTAATAATTAAAATATTATATAAAATACTATACTAAAGGAAATAAGTAGTTTTTAGGCGAATCAATCAGATCATCGTCATCTTTACTCTATGATACGTAAGCAATAGAATTATGAATATAACGAATCGTGGATTAAAAATTTACAATTAAGATTATATTAATCTGGCCAAAAATATAGTAGGGTCAGCTTGCATTACCACTGGAAAAGCGGAATTGGCCAAAACTACAATTAATTTTGGCTCGCATTATGACTTGACTCGAGCTAACTCGTCGAATCAAAAAAATTGTCATTTATGCGATAGAAGCTACATTTTCTGCGGTATTATGAACTTATATTCTCGTTAGTTTCCATAATCAAAATATGATTATGATTAGATTGCTTTTCATCACTTTTATTATTACAAAAAATAGATATAACATAATAATGTTTTTAAGTGGCGGGTGACGTTTTTAATTAATTATGATACATGATACAATTGATACATGTTTTTACGATTACAGCATTCAATAATCGGCATGAAAAATTATGGCATTACAACATTACGCCATATATATGGCGTATATAATTTTGCTAATTATCTCCTAATCGCACTTTATAAATCTTGAAATATACGTCATAAACTCCTGCCAAAGATTTTACTAAATAATGTTCATTTGACTCATACAAAATTTAAAAAGAAATCTCAAAAACAATAAGAATTGAAAATTTTAACTTGATTTATCCCCTATTATACTTATTATATTTTCTTCAATAAAGCTGGTTTATGTTTTCTTAAACTTTCTGCTACGTAATTAAAATGATTCACTAATTTACCCGCATCAGCAGTACTAGTAAATTGACATCGTAGAGTTTTGGATGATGAATTCTGTGGATGATAAGATTGTGCGATCACTACCAAATAATACCGTATACAGGTATAACGGAGAACTGAAATTTTCAAAGATTTTTTTAAAAAAATAGGGAAATTAAATGAATTTTATTACAAAAAAAAAAAAAATAACTAATAAACTAATTACCCGTTTTCTTTATTTTGTTTACAAATATCATTAAGTTGATTTGTTGGAGTTTTGCATTCTCCATCAGATAAGAATATAATGACATTTACCCTAAAAAGAAAATTATAAATAAAGAAGTTATACAAAATAGTTAATGTATTTAACTTATTCAAAAGAACGTACTTTGTAGGATCAAAGTGAGTTTCAATCAAAATTCCAGCTTTCTGAATTGCACTATCAAAGTCTGTTAAACCACCAGCTTCGTATTTAAGCATTGAATTTAACACATCTGAAAGATTTGTTAAATCTCGATATTCAAATGGGACTATAGTCTGGATTATATCGGTGATTAGAGTGTATCTTTTGAATAAATATGAGTTCAAATTAAAGATCATTAAGTGTAAAACCGAATACCTTATGGTTGAACAAGATTAATGAAATGCTATCAGGAGTTATTTTAGCGGAATTTTTACGTGTATTCATAAATAAGTACACCTATTAATAGTGAATCAAGTTAACGAAAACTAAGGTTGGACTGGTTAATTGAATATCATTTAATATTACCGCTTGATAAACTGCGCCAATCCTATTATTATGCTTCTTTGTTAAGTCATCATAAATTGGAAAGTCTTGAATCGGTTTTATATCTTGCTCACTCATAGAAATTGAATAATCCAAAACAAAGACAATGTGAAAAGCAGTATTTAGTTTTTCACAATTAAAATGATGTCCATCTGAAGATATATATCCATAATCGTTTGGAGGTTTTGATTCTGGACAAAGTTGAGCATGGAAAAGTTGTAATTCACAAAATGATTTAGTTGGAGGAACACTTGTAGATCCGGATTTAAGATGTTTTTCATCGGGACATTCATGATCACATTTTGCAAATTCTTGTTGTTCTTGAACAGTATAAGGATCTAATATCAAATAAAACAATCTAAATATACAAAAAGTGCATTAAGGGGACACAGAGGAACTTTATGCATTCATACCTTTGAAGCCTGTTCGCTCCCAGAAAAGTTTGTGAGAAATAAAATCTTTTGGCTTATCAGGATTAGGCGAAACTTTCACTGATTAAAGAATAATAACGTAATATGTAAATAAGTTCATTTAAGGAAAGAGAATTTATAAATTACCATTGATGTGTTGCATATCCCGGCTCTGATTTCCAAGTCTGCAATTTTCTTCATTTTGGCAATAATCAATATGGCGATGTCTGCCTAAATCTTTACAAAACTAATACAGAGAAGGAAAATTAAAATAGGTAGGAATTATAAATCTATATTTTGTGTAATACTTACACAATTGCAAAGAACAAATGTTCCTTGATCACCAACTCTTAAATTGTGCCTAACAATTAGACATTTTTTCAATTAAAACAAAACATCATATTTACTAGATTTTTCTTCAATGATTTATATACTATACCCTGCATATACAAATTCATCATCTTCTCCTGTGAATTCAGTTTGTGTCATATTACCATGTTTTGTGTCATGAATTTGTTGCTGATGTCCATAAGGTAACGTACACTAATTTCATTTAGTTTTTTTAATATTGTAATTACCAAAAAATGAAATTATATAATTAAACATAAAATCTTGAAATACATACAAAATATTCGCAGAACGGACATTGTTTATCACAATAATGAAATACTCCCTCTTCTTTATGCGTATGTTTTCCAGTATGCTCAAATTCATTCGGAGGAATCTTTTTATTGCATTTTAATTTATCACTTACTTGAATATACTATTTATAATAAAATTATCAAAGGCTTAAGAGTTAACATTTTATCATATTTTTAACATTATACATTAAAATTGTACCTTTGTATATGTAATAACAGTTCCTTCGACTCTACCCCTATAAGTTTCTTCTTGCTTTTTAGGTTCAGTCAACACGTTACATATACCATCTTCTTCGCATAATTTACGACATTGATGCTCTTTCCTTTAATTAAAAATATTTTTTTAATCAATTAACTTTCATTCGGAAGAAATAATGAAAATAATTAGAAGAGTATTATAAGAGTATAGTACATACCCACAAAAATGATTAACCTGCTGTGAACCAGAAAAAGCATGAAAGTGATCATCACTTTGACATCTTTCCTTGCAATCTGGAATTGGACATTGAATTGGACAAATTTTATTTTCACAATGATGAAAATCATGTTCTTCTTCACATGATATAATACATTTATTTGGGCAACGATAATCTCCTTTTGTGTTGTGTATTGATAATGAACAATCTTTTCCACAATAATGATTACGTTTTGATTGACATAAATGTTCGCCATCATCATGTCCAATTTCCTTAGAACAAACTTTTTGACAATTAAGCTTGTCAATAAGGAAACATGCTTTACCACACAAATGAATCATTTTAGCACAAGCATGTTTTCCTTTATGTCCAGCTTTGTGTCTACATTCTGGGGTTGGATTGTCGTTGTGGGCTTCGGTAAAGTGACAAGGAAAATGGCACTTATGATCGGTTAAACAGTCATGATTTTCTTTGTGATCATGATTTTCATTGTAACCACAATTTTTCACACATTTCAAACCACATTGATAACATGTTAATCCACACAAAGTCCATAGACGTGTAAGTTCACCTATTTTTTGATCCAATGCGTACCTTCCATCAGTTATGTCACTATTATCTTGTGGAAATCTGGCAGTATTTTCCAAATACCAATTTTTAACACGTGAAGTTCGATGCCCAATAATATCTTTTAAGAATCTATCAAAGTTAGAAAACCATTCATTATCATCCGATGACTCTTTTCGTGGTTGTGTGGTTTTCTCGAAGTGGTTTCTTAAATATTCAGAAAGCTGGATGAAAAATTCATCATCATGATCATCATCATCTGGAAATAATTTAATTGGTTTTCCATCGTTCAAGAAATCTATTGGACCATCAATTGGTTCTTCGGAATCATGATTCTAATTAATAAATAAATTTAAAAATAATTTAAAATACACACATCTCTCATTAAGAGTTACATATGCAATTTTCATTAAAATAAAGGAGTTTTATTTACCACAAGAGGTTCAATAATGGGATCCTTTTGCTCTATACCATAAGATACAGCGATTGGAAGCAATCTTTTTAACGTTGCAACACGGATATGTATGAGGTTTTCGTTTAACGAACTCCAATCACATATCTAATTTTCAAAATGTAAAAATTAAAGAAAAGAATTCTCATCATTAGACATAGTGCTAACAAACCTTCAATTTAGCCATGATTACTTTCGTATTTTGCAAGAAAGTTTTAGCATTTTCATATTTTGTTTCCTGTTCATCTAGCTTTATTTTAATTTTTGATAGCTTTTTAAACCATGCTACGTCATGAAAAACAGGCCAAGCTATAATACTTAATCCACCTCCATACATTTTTGTAATAAAATTATCTCCTCCTTCCTAAAAACATTTAAATTAGTTTTTTTAAAAGATATACACTGTTATTATAATTTTTATTTTAATTACCTCTGCAACTAATTTATCCAATTTTAATTGAAACTCTTTAGTAATACCATTCTTATCTGTTTCAGGCACGTCTTTAATGATAATACAGAGTCTTGCCTGAAAAATAATTAATAAATAATCCGCAATTTTTAGGTTTAAATAATTATAGAAATATATTTGGATCCGACTCAAATAACTTTACGCCATCTTGAAATTTTTGAAACATTTTTGATGCATCTCTATTTATGGTGTATTGATTCTTTTGTAATTAAACAATTTATTGATCATATTAGTAAATATACAAAGCAAGAGTCAATAATATAATATAACAGTATAATTAATATTTACTTTATAAAGAATAAGATTTGAGACAACTGTATTAAAGAGTGTTAGAAACATATCTGAGAATTTATTAATTGACAAAATATAGTTAGATCATGATAAATAAATAGATAATTTGTAAGATACACTGTAGCACATACCTTCTTGTGGAGTTCTTTCAAGAGATCTTAATCCTTCAAAGTCGAGCGCGACATAAATACATTCTTTTGTATTAACTATAAGTAAAAATAGTTAATAAAATATAATGTATTTTGATGGAGTAAAAAAAAAGTTTAAACCCTACCTAATGACATCCATACGCCTTCAGTACAACGCTAAAAATAAGTTGGTAAATATTTAGAATTAATCAAAAAATTTAAAAAATTTAAAAAGATATACTTACTACATACCATTGCTGACCCATCAAATGTAGTTCCAACAAGATGGTTTAACATAAATGATTTTCCACATGATTGTTCACCCATGCTTGAAATAATTTTTACTTTTTTACTACTAAAATGCTTGAATATTCCCTCATACCATCCAAAAGATATGTTTTTTGATATAATTTCTACATGACGACGATCATCTCCAAGTTCAATATCCGAAGATAATCCATCCTTGAGTGGCTGAAATAAGTTGTTTCTTGCTACAGCAATTTGTATAGGAATTAGACAACAAAGTTGAATAATCCACTCTCCCAATTGATATTCTGATGAAAAGTCCTTCTGAAATTTCACATTTGCAATATCAAGTTCTTGAAAAGTAATGACCGATGTAGAAAATTCTTTTAATATATTTGCAGGTTTCTTTGTAGAATGCTTTAAATCATCAAATATTTTAGTAACATATTTTTTAAATTTCTCGCCATATTTTTTAATGTTGTTATTTTTATCAACATCAAGAACTACTTTTAGACTAAGGGGGCGACTTTGTTCAAGATAGATACAGCTATCAATTGGATATTTTTCAAACATTAAATTATAAGCATTGATAAGATCATTTGATTTTGTTCTCTGAAGCGCAAGTGAATGATTTCGCATGCATTTTTGGAAACGAAATTTCGCCTTTTGAAGAGTAATTTTGAGTAATAAAGAATTAAAACATCCATTATTTAAATCGAGTGAGATCAAATGAGTCTGTCGGTTATTGATACAGGAAATTTGAAGAAATTCTAAGAATTTAAAATTTAATGGTAAATCAATAACTAAAAAATAAAATAAAAGAAAATAAATATTAGTAAATTCATAAACTTTTAATAATACAAAAGAAAAATTTTAAATTATGAGAACCTTTATTAACTTTGCCTCCAAAGTTTTCGGAAAAATAAACGTAAACACGATTTATTTCTTTAATATCATTATTATAATCACGTTGTTTTTTATCATCGGTAGAAATAATTGAATCAGCTTTATCAGGTTTATCATCCAATATTTCTTTCGTAAATGTCACAATACAAGAACCATCTGGGGAACTTAAAACGTTTACTAAATTAGACGGAAATTTACAATCTGTTACTCGGAATTGTGAATTCACGAGATTAAAAATACGTGCTCGTCCACAATTCTCGACAAAGCAAAGTTCCTCAGTGTCTTTGATGAACAGAAAATATTTAATGCTCGGTATATTACTATACCATTGCAATAATTGAATATTTGCATAACGTCCATATAACCTTGATCGATTATCGGTAAAAGAAAATACATCAAGCTATTGTTACATTTTTTGTATAATAAAAGAATTAGACGAAAAAATGTATTACAATTTAAAATAAACTAGGGACTAATATCAAATACCTTAACTTCTTCTGTATTATATATTGCGAGAAGCCCTTTTGGCTCATTAACTGCAATAATAAAATTTTCATCTGTATAGAATGATTTAAATGGTTTAATAGTCGAATGCGATTTAAAATTTTGTGCTAATTGTCTTGCAGTATTAAAGAATATTTCAATTCTTTTTGTATCTTTATTGTAAAGCATAAGAAGAAATTTATCTTTATCAAATTGAGATATTTTTCTATAATTATAATAAAGATATTAGATATTATTTTTTCTTAAAGATCTTAATTTAAGTTACAAAAATTATTAAAATTCTTACTTAAAGTCATAGGCTTCAGGAATGCGAAATGATGTACCGTATTGATTCATATTAGAAAGTAAAATTGGAGATGGAATATAAGTCTCGTCTTGTTGAATTTGATGATTATCATCTACTTATAATGATGTTTCATAAATAGTTAACTGCACTTGATCTGGTAGAAGTTCTTCGATATCATATTTAATCGTGAAAAATTCTTTATTTTCTGAATAAAATTATATTAAAACCTGATTCGCTAAAATTTATTTAAACAAAATAAACACAGTAAGAAAAAACAATTTACTTTTTACATTTAATACATATAATCGCATGGAACTACAAAAATGAATAAAATCGTAATAATCAGTCAATATAAATAAAGAGCAATTATAAAAGTGAACTTACTCTCCCGCCATCTTTATATTTTTTTTCTATTTCATTACATATTTGTCCAAACATATTTTTCTCAATTATTTTCTTTTCTTCTTCATATTCTCGCTTTAATTTATCTAGTTGTTTGTTATTTTGAGTACTCGGCAAAATTTTTTTAAGATTATTAGGAAAATCTTCATTTTTCCATTTATGATATTCCTCAATAGAAACATTTATAATCTTTTTTTCAAATAATTCAAATTCGAAGAGTTTTTTAATAAATTCTTCATCTGACTCTTTACTGGTCATTTGTTCTGCCTTTTTAATATTCGAAGTTTTAAAAACATTATTTAAAATTCTCCTGACTTTTGATTGTTGTGTATATTTTTCAAGCAATTTGTTTAAGTCAGATTCAATATCAGTGAGCATATTGTAAAAGGTTTCTATTGCGAATTTTTTCGTTTCACCTGTTTCATAGTTTTCTTCTGATTCATTGGTTTTTTCCAATATTTTATTAATAACGATACATGATAAATTATATTTTGTTTTCATTTTTTCCCAATTTCTTGAGTCAATTTTAATCGTTTTTTTAATTTGATCCTCTATTCCAGGATACCTTGTTCGAATTCTTTCGAGGTCTACATAATCAAATATATACTTAAATATTGTTTTTCTTTCAAAAAATTGTATTGTTTATCATTATATTTACCCGTATCGCTCATGCTCGTTTGTGATGGACAGTTATCCTGATTATCCTGCTTAATATATTTGCCGAAATAACTATATATCATATATAAAAGAAACATATTTAATGATATTAAACATAAACACATAAAGCAAATATTAATTCAAATACGCACCGTTCAAAATCACGTAGTTTTATTGATGCCATTTTTTGAATGATTTTGATATCTTCAGAGATAGTGTTAATTTCTTGATCCTTTCTTTTTTCATTTTGATCTTTTGCTTCAGAAATTGCGTCATACAGTGGAGTTAATAATTTTTCCATTCCTAATCCGTGTTTAACAAACAATTCTAGTGCATTTATATCCATCTTATTACGATTAATACGTAAATAACGACCTTGCAGTTTTGTTTCGAGATGATTTTGGAAATTGTTCTACAGAAACTTGCGCCGAGACAGTTTTTGAATGCAAAATTCCCTTTATCAGTTGTCGAGTGACGAATGATTGATTTGTAGTAGATTCAACAACTAAATAAAATGGATATTTTTAACATTTATTAATAATGCAAGCTCAACTTAAGTCAATGTAAAGCGTACCTATTGGATATAACGGGATATCATCTTCATTTTGATTATTAATTTCGTTCTTAATTCTATTTGACAACTTCACCTTCATAAGATAAAATTATTATATAAATTATTGTCGACTTTTAAGTTAAATAAGAATACTTATTTAAAAAAAAATAAAACCTTAAAGCCGTTATCAATATTAAAATCTTCCCTTTCTTCTTGACTTTTTTTTACTTCATAATCATCATCTGAATCATCGCCTACGTTAGTACCAGAATTCTCTAAGTTTAAGCCTTCCAAATCTTCATCGCTCATTAAACAGATCTGATGATCGGGGAGTTTTGTTAAATATCTAATAAAAAAATTCAAATGAGTAATTAATTATAAACCCTAAATTTCTAACGCAAAAAAGAAAGAAAGAATCAGCACCTATGTAAATTAACCATATTCCTTTTAATCTGGGAAGAAGCATCTAAATCATTTTCATAGCATCCAATTTCAGGCCAATGAATAATTAAACCAAAATTAGAATTCACTTTTAAAAAGTAAATTCCTGGAAGTAACGAAGGTTTGTTTGTATCATTAATTGAGACGGAAGTTGTGAGCAATTCATACCTGTAAGAAAAAATTTAGATTAACTATTTTCGTATAAAGTAATATTGCTACAACGAAAGAAATTTTATATTTACAATTGTTGATCAATTATATTTTTATTCAACAAGAACTTTGCAATCAAAATGCGGTTTCCATAACATCCAATAAGACGAAATGGGATTGAATTTAATTTCGAGTAATTAATTTCAGAAATAGACTTGAAACTTGATGGGACCATATCATTGCATAGTTTCCCTAAATATTCCTTGGAAATAATTATCTTGTCCACTTTAAGATATTAAACATAATGAAAATTAATATTGCTTTACAGAATGTTTCAGTAATTTGACTTTAACTAAATTTACCAATGCCGCTTGAACCATCATCATAACATAAATCCAACAATCGATACAATCCATTAATACGATTAGCTAAGTCGCTTGAACCTTCATTGTAATTAGCTTGTGAAGGTGTCGTCAAGTCATTCGTGTCCTCCTGAACCCCTAAAGAAAGAGTTACAAATAATTGAAGAAAGTACTAATTTGTCATTCGAATAATTCGGATAAATTGCACATCCCGTGACCATTGCTTATTTCATTAAGCAAGAAAATGGTGAACTTAGAAGCATACAAATAAATAAATAAAATATTTTATGCACCATTAGAATCGTTAGAAACTTGTCCAGAATCACAATTTTGCATGATGCGTTGCGAAAATTTCAAACAATAAATCAATATCTAGAGACATCCTTTTTTATATATAAATATTGGGGAATTTGTTTTTGGAAACAATCGGCTAAATAATTTGCCGATATAGTATTAATTCACAAACATGCATGTGACAATTAGATTTTAAATTAGGGATCGCTAGCCATGTAAAGAATACCGATGATCTAATGTTGTTGAAAAATTCTGGTTTAAAACTTGCGGTTTAAAACTGTGTAATGTGCAACAAGTACAAAGTTGCATTATTAAAAAAAAAAAAAAAAAAAAAATTAATACACGTGTATGTTTTCCGATATGTAAATTTATTCTTAATTGAATAAATAATAAGATAATATATTAATTACTTTATTACATCTTAATTTTAGGTTCTATATATACTTTATTCATACAAATGTGCCTTCTTTTTGCACAATTAATTCATGATACATTTAAAATTAAAATATTTACAAAAAATACAGACACACAAAATGATTAAGCGATAGGATCTAGGATTAGACACAGAAATGAGCCACTCGGAAAACTTGAACATTGGCTAATTAATAGTTTACTGTAATCGGCTAACTGAATTGATAAACTGTGTAACCAGTAAACAGATTAAGAAGATAACTGCGTGCTTTAAATTTATTATTTTCTGAGCTTATCTGTTATTAATCTTAAGGTCTTTAAAAAATGGAACAAAATTGACTTCGAACCGACTCCAACGAGCCAAATCTCTCAAATTAAAATTAAAGGTGGCCATTTAAATTTTTTTAGTCGACCAACTTCAGAACAGACGAACCGATCCCGCCTCCAAACCGATCAATGACCCAGAATTTCCTGAACTAAAGTAGAACTATTTTGATCACCTTTTTAAAATGGGTTGAAACAAATTGGGTTGAATGATTTTTTTGTGATCTGCCGATCAGCAAGCTAGGATTTTGATCGCATATTTGCGATCAAAAGCTCAATGATCAAGAATTAATTTGGCCTATTGTTATACTATTGTGTTTGCATAATATCCATATAAAATGGATGGTTATTGTCGAAAGTAAATATTTTTTTTAAAGAATCATTTTTAGTTCACTAAATAATAATTGTCAATTCATAAACGGTGGCTGTAAATTGGTAGGCTGTCAACTCAATAAAGAATTGTGCGAAGAAAATTGTATTATCCTAAAAATTATTCCATAGAAGTATAGAAAACTTAAACATTATTCGTATGGTTTATCGTAATGAACTTTTCACACATTGTTATTTTGGTAACGCATAAAATAATTTTGAAGCGACTGCTGAAACCTTCTGACCAATCAAAATCAGGAGTTTTGCGTTCAAGGTCAGGTGTATTTTTATATTATAATTTTGTCAAAAACTGCTTTCATTTATTGAGATTAAACTGTATTCATAAATCATTTCATAATAAGGTTTTTAATTAATCAATTCGATAAAAAAGTTACTTTATCATATTTTTAAAAAGATATTCAATTGCACGAAGTGTTGTTATTATTAATTCGGCTAACAACACCCAACCGAAAAAAATCCATGTCGATCTTGAATAATTGTTTATTTAACTGCTACTATTTACGGCTAGATATTTACGGCTAACTACATTATTATTTTAAAAAAGTGTAGTTAGCCGTAAATAACAAATATAACACAATAATTTAAGCGGTATAATTAAATTGAATAAGTACTAGTATTATTAAAATAAATTTTGGTTGAACATTTATTATAGCTTAATAAAGTATAAATGATTATAAAATTTATATATTTTATTATTGAGTGTTCATATACGTATCACGTGACTTTATTAAAAAGTTATGTAAAAAAAAAATTTAATAAATATAATTTTTAAAAAAATATGCAATAAGTGTAATTTTGTCTGTTCTGCAAGTTTACTTAAAGCGTCAAAGTTAATTTTAAATGTCAATTTTGATTTATTTAACAAATTCTTTTTTTTTTCCCCTGATTTTTCGTTAAATTTAATTCTGCCCAACATTAAATGATCACTCCGCGTTTGAACATTATAGGAAATCGTCTTTATTATTATGTAAATTTAATAAATTTTAAAATGTTAATTTAAAGTTAATAAATAAATTAATTAAATTAAATATATATAAATCATCACATTTTGATGTTGCCTCCTTGTCTTGCTGGTTCGCTTTGGTCTCCTGGAAAATTATATGTGTATTGGCGTTTCTTGCGCTCCTGGTTGGATATTTCGGCTAATTACACCATTATCAAATTATGGATATATCAGATGACCACTTTTTTTTTCAGGACATTCTATGGATAAATTCCAGACACCATTTTCCATATAGAAAGAATTCATTAATTTCACAATTCTAAATTCTAAATTAATAGGAAAATTACACTAGTATTAATTTTCAATTTTTTCATAAATATTAAAAATTTTTGGAATGAATAAATTATGGATTTTATGGATCGAAGTATACATATTTCAAATTTTTTTCCAAATTCTTGAATTTTTTGCTCTTACAAATACAATCACCTTGATTACATTTAATATCAATGTATTTAATTTTAATTCCACTAATTTTTTGTTTCAGGAAAATTGGACCATGATATTTATTTTCTCCTATGGAATATAAACTAACAAAATTTGGATGTAATTTTAATGATTTGTTTTTAAGTTTAATAAGATCAAGCATTTTACTTATCTTACTCATGTGTTGGAAGGGTAAGATTCCACAATTATCAGAATTAAGATAGTTTGAGATAATAAGTGTATAAAATGTAAAATTAGGTAAGCTAATAAAATGGTTATTTTCCAAACAATAAGAAAATATATATGATCCAATCTTATTTTTTTCATCATTATAAAAATAATGTCCAATAACTTGATAATTATTATTTGGAGAATCCAACTTACTTAATACTGGAATTCCAAAACAAAGAACTGATGGATTATATTCCAACTCTAATGGTATAACTATAGTTTGATGATTTGATGCATTAAAAATATTTCTTAGAACTTTCAATTTAAAATTAAATTCTGAATTATTAAAATTAAAATTTATATCATAACCTATGATCATCCACCTGATATTCAATTTACATTCATGCTTTCTAAATTTTTTTTGAATACAATGAATTAAAAGTTTTGGATCTTCATTTGGTGGCCAAACAACCTGACAATTAAAAATATCTTTTTCATTTTTATCAACAACTGTAGCAAAGATGTTACAATCAGAATCTTTACATTGAAGAATTTCTAAAAATTTTTCTGGTATGTTTATCAACTGACTTCCAGATTCGAGCAACTTATAAGAATAGTCTTCAACACTTGTAAAAAGTATTTTTTTTCCGGTCAAAGATAAGATTTGTTTACGTAAATCTTCAGGTAAAAGTTGAAAAATATTAACTGGTTCTTTAAAATTTATACAACTCCAATATTTAAAATCTTTTAAAGATTCAACCCAATCTGTTTCATTAAAGTTGTTGGAACAAGCTTCTTTTCCTCCAAATAATTTAAAACTTTTAAATTTAGAAGAATAGTTTGTATTTGAAGATTTTGAATATTTTTTTTCACATTTCATATTTAATGACTGAATACCTATATTTGAAGAATATTCATCAGCATTTTCTTCAGAATTTTCTCTTGCAATAACATATGCTCATCCACCCAAAATAATTTCTTTTGAAATAAATTGACCAAATTCACTTATGACATCCTTAAATTTTCTAGGATCATTAGAATTTATTACATTCCTTACTGCTTCAATGAATTCTATAGTTGGTTTTAATTTAAATTTTAAAGACATTTTTTTGTGTTCAATAATATTATAAGTTGTATTAATTGTAACATTAGAATTTTTAATGTTTGACTTTTTGAATGATACTCCCAATTTTTCAAAATTTGGTATGTCAATATCCGCAATTAAGAGCAAATCATTTTCTATAATCTTATTTTCTTCCGAATCAATTTTAATTGTACGATTTTCGTATCCATCAACGATTTCATTCATTTCACAATCCACTATTGTAAATGCTCTATTATTAGCTTTTTCAAAAGTTACGTCACGTCCATATTCTAGTTTATGTCTATTTTTAAAACATTTCCAATTGAGTTCTGACGTTAAATATAAAGTTTTACTTTTTTTATTAATAATGTTTTCTAAAATCTTCTTTTCTTCATCTTCTCTTGCTATTTCAGCAAGTGAGCCTCTAGTATTATTATTTTGACTAATTTTATATGCAAATGTTAATGTATCGTCCATTTTGACTTTACTATTTTGTTTAAGTATTTCCCGGACTTTTGATAACTTATATTTAAGATTTAAATTAATTGATACAACTTTTGATTGCAGGTCATCTATTTTAACTGTTATGTCAACGTCATCTGTATTATCGGAATCCACGTTTTTGTTTTGATATTCAATATTAGTCATGTCTAGGAACTTCAATTGAACTATCACTTTTGCTATTGAGATAATGTGTTAAAGCTAAGGATCTCTTCTCCTGGTCAATCAGGGTCACAAGGAGAAGACTGGCTGTTAGACGGTTCAGAACCAGAGGCGACACTTTTATAATTGTATGTCAAATTATATTTGGTCAAATTAAAAAATCAAATAATGAAATTTCTATTGTGATTTGGATTATTTAAAATTTTTCTTAAAAAAATCTAGAAAAAATTTAGTGAATATTAAAAGTGTATAACGAAAAAGCTCTTTTTTTCATCTTTTTTATATACATTAATTTTGATCGGCGTTACACGATTTTTTTAATTTGTTACCCAATTTAAAAAAAATATGACATAATAAATCGTCGCTCGCAGCATGGATCACGTGACATAATGTAGGTTAAAAAACAATATTATTAATCATCGCTCTATTTATTTTTTTTCCTCGTCCAAATTAGGAAATTCTCCGCATAAATGGTTTTTCCTTATTTTTATTTTTGGTAATCGGAAGGTTTCATGGGATTATAAATTATAAATTTGGATAAGATCGACCGTTAGTCCATTACGCAGCATGGATCACGTGATATAGACAGAAGAAAACACATAAACATATCTCAATAGTTATACTGTAGAATCGTTATAGTATTTTACAGGAACCGTTAGAAAGCGCGTAGCGAGCTTTACGGCTTTAATTCTTTCATTGTTATGAATAATTTGTTTCATTAATTTCTAGTATTACATTTTTAGTACAATTAATTAAACTTCAATAAATTACTTCGTACAATTGATACGTATTGAGTATTGACGTACGTAATATAAATAGCACGTGATTTTGAATTATAAACAACTAGAATTTTCTATCGTGGGCTTTATTGTAATTCGAGTCGCTTGATTGGCCACCGATCTCAACCCAATTGATTCGTACGTAAAAAAAAAAAATTAATAATTCGAACTTTATTACATTATAAATATATAACAACTAATTCATGCACGCATGTGTTTGAAATCCCGAAAGTCGTAAAGTATAGAAAATGTTTAAACCCCATCAATTTTAATTGAACCAAAAGGATTTTTTATTAACTACTTTAATTAAATTGTAAATATAAGCTTTATAAGATCAACTTTACTTTTGACATGTAATGATCGACCGTAGTTGTTAGCACTAAATAATCTATATTCATCCTAAAATATTTTTGATAAAAAAGAATTTAATTCAATGTTTTATTCGCATTATCAAGTTCTTTGTGAATACTTTTGGATTCTGTAACTAAATTTATCTATTTAGATATATCTAAACCTTATATAGACGCTGAATACATTCAATATGCGACTGTATATATTGAACCAGAAATATGATTAAAACATTAATTTTTACGAATAAAATTTAAGTATTTTGTTATAAAAATATTTTCAAAATCTATTTCTTTGTTTATTGTTTGTTCGTAAAAATTAAAGGTTCCGACGCCCGGCCCGTCGTGTTATTCTATAAGCTTCTTTTCAAAGATTAATTTTTTGATTTGTGATAAACTTTATGGGCGTATAGCTCATTAACCTTGAATTTAATTTTTTAGTAGGAGTTTTTGCGGAATAAAAACTAGAAAAATGGTCATTTATCGGAGTTTTCCCAGAATTTTTTTTATGGGGGAATGACTAATCGTTTTCCTCATAGAAATTATAATTTAACCCATTTTTAGAATATGTACAATGATTTAATGTGCGACGATCCATATACAGAAATAAAACAAACGAACGAACGAACTGTCATGTATCAATCAAAAGTTCAAAGTGATTAAAGAATGGAACTTTCATCTATTGTTCTTGGAAATTTATTATCATAATATGAGTTTGGCCTAAGGATAAATTATAAGCCTTTTTTTTATTCACTTTCCAATTTGAGCTTAACGATACATCAAAATGATTTACTTAAACAATGAAAAATGACATATATGCATATATGTGCATTTGCATGAGGAATATGTTAAAGAAAATGGCATATATGATATTTGTATAAGATAAAAATGGAAATGGGTTTAAGCTATTTACAGTTAATTAAAAGTATCGTTCTTTAATTTATATTGTTTAATATATTAAATATACAAATTAGAACTCGATATAACGAATCCTTCGGTTCACTGAAAAAAATCACTATATCGAAATTTAAACAATTTTTGTGTCCATATAACGATAAAATCTTAAAACTCGTTTTATCATGAAATTCGTTATATCGCATAGTCATTATATCGAGCTCTGGCTGTAATCATCGAGATTTTTTTTTTCTGAGTTCAGAAAACTGGAAGTGCTTCATGACCACAGTTACGCAGTCTTAACATATGGGGGACAGCTTATTGTGAATGTCCTCTGATTTCAGGAATTTCTTGATAGCTCAAATATTTTTGTGGAAGGTTTTGCTGCTACTTTATAGATAAGAATATTTTCTATAAGGAACTAAATTCATTATGGTTAACGAAATGTATAAAGTTCCATTGGATTATAAAAGTTTCATTACCAATGTCGATGTTTTATTGGTTATCACTTGAATCAAAGTTTATTGTTATTGATTTTAACTTCACGTGAATTCGTACATTATGAGTTTCTCCTAATAGTCTTAATAGTTTGAATTAATATGCAGCATGCCTTATTGCCTTATTATATAAAATTGAATTTAATACTGTATAATTGCGTATAAAAATTATAAACTAAATTTATTGAGACGCATGATTTTATATTACCTGTCACATGGTGTAAAATTAGATGTTATATTAAAATCTGACTCTAATATTAGTAAAAGCTTAATATGATCATTCTGGTCCGTATATTACAACCATTAACCCATTAACAAGTACGCCCGTGCGATAACATGTAATTATTGTGTATTTTTGGTACGTGTTCTCGCTCGCCGATTTCTCATTAACAAATGACCTATCGGATTATCATATTAATAATTATATTCTTAAAAATTTAAAAACACTCCTGTACTGTACAGATTTCTTTTAATAAAAGAATCTCCAAATAGGTGGTTGCCATTAATTCTACTTAATTATCGGTATTTATGTATATTTTCAACAACATTAATTTAAAATTGTTAAATTTCCTAATTTAATTTACATCAAGAGTGTCGAATCCAGAAATTTGCTGTATTCCTGTAATATTTATCTTCGTCTAATCATCTAGAGTATTATTTTCAGTTCAGTTTCGTATCTTGAATTATTGAAAGCACATATTATAACTAGAATGAAAAATATCACGTAAATTATTTTTATAATTATTATTTAAGCTATCAGATACAATAAACTGCTAATATTTATCATCAAGTACGGTATACCAGGCAAATTAATGAGCAAATCCCGCGTAAAAAAAAAAAAATAAAGAAGAAAAAAATCGGTAAATCTAATATTACCAACTCTGTGTAATATTTCTTGTCTAAAGAAAATAATATTCTTTTTTTTTTATAGAAATATGAAAGTATTGAATAAGGACATGAATAGTTTTGGTATATTATTTTGCGCGACTCATTTTTTTTAAGATTTAATTTCACATATTTTTCGTAAATCTATATTTCAAAGAAATTATTCTTTAAAATATAGTGTACATAATATTATTTAATCGATCTTTTATAGAAAATCTAGTTTAATTATTTATGAACTATTAAAAAAAAAATAAGACAGGATCTCAGGTTTTAAACGGCCAAAATTTGAATTATTCATTTGTCCATACTACAAGATTAAAATACTAAATACATAAATATTTATGAGTAAAAATCTTTTTTTTTTTTTAATGGCATACTAAGAAAAATGAGAGAAAAAATTATAAATACAAATCATCGGAATCATGTGACAAGAATGAAACTCATCTTTACTTTTCATGCCCCATAGCCACAGGAATTCATTTTGCCTCTAAAATTTTCTTCCAATTAAAATGTCTGGAAATGTAATGACGGAATATTTATATTTTTTTATTAATTACTCAAATTGTCTCTCAACATTATTTTCAAAGTCGCTGTGATCTTATTTTCATTACAATAAATAGACTTGTCATAATTACAATAATGGAAATACTCGCAATTTTACTCGTGAAAATAATTGAAAAGTTGAGTTTAATGAATATTGTAATTTCGTATCAGTAATTTTGTATCGCAATCTTAGTACGAAAAAACAGATCACAACCTTATCTTTCTTATACCAAATAAAATTCTTTGTTTAATTATTATTTTTAATGATGTAAAGGAAATATACAATCGGAATTTCATAACCAAAATGATACTGATCTAATTAAGAACCAAGAATTTCAATGAAAAAAAATTTTTTTTCGCTAGATAGATTCACAAGTCTCTGCATATACAACCAAATACTCAGCCCTTGATTTAGTGCTATGCTCATTAATACAATGAGACAAACAAAAAGTCAACGTCTCTGTTAATCGTGACCCTCTTCGATTACAAAATAATTATAAAATAAATCTAATACCAATTTTAAAAATAAATTTTTACAATCACCTCTACCATGGTTCTATATATATAGTATGTTTAGTCACAACTCACAAAATAGAAGATTCATATTTAATAATGTATAAATAAATATAGTTTACTAATCAAAACAATAATTTTAAAATTTTTTTTTTTTGAAAAAAAAAAAAACTTTTTGTACGCCTACATTATTTAATCTCTTTCAAGGAAAATTTTACCGAAGCTTATTCGGTTCCATTATTTCTTGCCTGTTTAAACTTAAATTCCGATTCATCAAATCTATTTCTTCTACTTAACACCTCAAGATATTAACCAACAGTCATCATAACTGGTTAAAAGGGATAAATTATTTAATATTATTTTTTAAAAGAATTCAACAGAAGTAATTTTGTTAAGAAAACACCAATTTTTGAGATTCAAATTCAGAAAAGTGTGCATAAGTATAAATAAAAACAACTTACTCTGCCAAAACTATAATATTTTAATTTTTTATCTCATTTAATTTTTAATTCTCCATTTGTTATCTTATTAGTGATAAATGAATGAATGACAGAAGCTGTTTAAAAAAAAATCGTTGATATGGTAACAGTTAATGAATGATAATACTGCAAAGAGCCAAAAAGAAAAAAAAAACTTACTACTTTAAATTACAAATGCAACCCAAATCCATTAAGGCATCTTAGCCACATACTGCGGAGGTTGGACGCCATCTTAAATATTAGTTATACGATTATCGTAAATCTCCTTTTCAATTATGGTTCACGAGTAGAATAGAATAGATATATAGATAAACTACACTTATGGGAGTATGTTTTTGTTGAATAATTCTTAGTTAGAATCGATTCGTAAGTTAGATATTGATATTAGGAATTCATATGATTCCGCAATAAATTCCTAATCTCAGATCATAATTTAAATATGCAGACCATGACCCATTTGTTAGATATATCAGGTATGTACATCTACTTTACTGGACATAAAGGCTGGCTAAAATATTTTAATCTCATAATAGCGCAATTCTATTCTTTTCTTGGTAAAATTATAAACAGGCTATCGATAACCTCAGCTAATCAATCTTTCTAAAATAGCACGATCATTTCGTTAATGCGATCAGTTAATTTAATCGTCTCCTGAAAGAACTGTTCCAATGAGAGGACTTTCGAATTGCTTACATTGAATGTTTTGGGAGAACTTAATGATAAGCTTCGTTAGTTAAAGTTTGCATCAAAAATAAGAATTGGTGTTTACTGATATATTTTTTTTCTCTGACATAGTATCGTACAATTTTTATGTAGGGATGTTTTACAATGAAAGATCACATACAGTAGTATTTGTAGAATCTGCATCATCGATCCCATTACAGAAACTAGTCACAAGAAAGTAGAGGACTTCGGAGTTATCGATTCGGTTGCAACAAATTCACACGCAGGTTCGCAATATTCTTGAAATCGGAAGGTATTACATCGATTATATTAGTCCCGATATTTACCAGAAAATCCCCACCCTTTGGTGTCTCTTCAGGACTGGGCTGATTTCGGAACGAAGAGAATTAGAATTTGTGACCTTCCAAAGGTTGTGAGTCGAAAATAGTGTCACGGAAATACGGGATGGTATTGGTCCCGGCATTTATCCTTAGATTTTCCTCTTCGAGCAGTATCCTGAGCACCTTGCCACTCAGCCATTAGGAACAGTTTTTAATAAATGTATTACTGTTGATAATTAGTTAGACAAAACGTATACAAAAATCTTTATGATTTCAGAACATATCCCAATAGATAGTGCTACACACCGAAGAGGACTTGAAATCAGTCCATGGGACCTTAAAAGATGTGAATGTTTAAAGTGTCATATGTTGGCACGTGAGTATTATTATTAGTGTATTGCTATGTATCCCTCTATTCATGGTTAAAATTGGTGCCTATTACATAACACAAAAGAAGATCCTCTGTCTATAATATTTTTCCATTTAATATCACATTTATCTAGTTTCTGATTGATATTATCCCGTATTGAAATAAACTCATCAAAAAAGTTAATCAGTAGAATCTATTTATTGTAGTCGTATATAAGTAGATAGTTATTTCGAAAAATGGGATGTCTATTGATGGAGATAATCCCTAACAACAACGAGTAGTCTCATGAACATGTTAACCATTCCTTGATGACAATCCGAAATCATTATGTTGACGGAAAGTCTGTTGAGCATTGAATTCGGACACAACGTGATTAGATTTTTTATCTCTTTAAAATAAATGGTCGTTATTCTATGGCTCAAGATTGACATAGAGAGAATGTTTTTCCGCAACCTTTGCTGTAAACATGTCATACGTAATATGTAGTAGCTTGAGATTTGCAAGTGTCGAATAAAGACTTATATTTTTGATCCGTACAATAAAGTTTTCAGAGAAGAACTACATTTATGATGTGATAATTTAATCGTTTAGGGGGAGTTGAATTGACTATGTTATTATGTGAAACCGATTTTCTAGATCATTTCGGAACGGTGCAATAGCTATTAGAACTAGTTTATTATTTTAACGTTTGATTTTATGTTTCATGGATTATTGGACATAGTCTACTTCGTACCTTCTGGGTATTCCAGGTAACCACAAATTTAATGGATAAGGAGAATCTATTTAAAAAATAAGTAGACTAACCAATTAAGCGAACATATTTTAAGGAGATATTAACCACTGAGTTTGTTATTTCATATAGCTTTTCTACAAATCCCATGAAATATATTGCGTGTTTAGATTTAATATTCAGTGGGCCAATGAGTTTCTCTTCCATTGAATGGAGAAAGACTTTCCATCAATATCGTGTTAACATACTCAAGTGATTACTCTTTGATGTTATGTACATGAGTACATCATTAGGTACCATTTTTGGTATTGGCTTTCTATTTATATACGAGATTACTAGACCACAAAAAGTATTACAATTGATTACCCTTTTGTTGATTCGGAATATTTTTTACCACGGGTTTAATGTTAGGCCGAAACTTAATGGATTCATGTTTATCGGAAAAAATCTTATACCTAAAGTCACACACGTATTTTACCAAAAAAATCATGCTTTCTAACAGAATTCTTCGATAAATTTGCTTTATTTCGTTTCACTGGAACGTTGCCATTCATTAGAAGATTATTGAAATAATGCCTGGGGTTTTGCCCACGAAGTGATTTTTTATTAGCAGACACATTGGGTTTATTATTCGTAGTGAAAGTATTTATCTTCGCTTCCGTATGAAGAGAGTCAAGCTTAGCAAACTCCTTGTTGAAATCTTTACGACTGTTAAAGGTTATTTCGAGATTATGTGATATCTGGGGGCACATAATCAGCTTAGGCTTGCTTCCAAATCCTTTTCCACAAACCTCAATTTTAAATACTTGAATAACAGTAATACAAAAGACACACAAATGTTCACTATAAATTAATAGATGAAACTGTTGACATGACATTTTTTCTCCGTTCCATACAGAACAATGTGACTGCCTCATTGATGATGCACGAATCAAATATTCAGAAATCAAAATATGTCATTCTTGTCTGCAATATACTCTCTCATTTGGTTCACTTAATCTTAAACTGAGGATTAATATGTTTTCGCCCAGTAGAACCACATACTTAAATTACGGAAATAATTTGAAATGCATTAAGTGTCTCTTTTTCGATAACGTATGCTCACCATACATTAGAATCTAGAGCATACAGATCACAGACTAAGAGTCTTAGCTGAGATACGTTGAAAACAAATTCGAAATATCTTTTGTCATTTTTTAGAAGAATCTTTATAACATGAACTATATACGAGATCGTTTACCTATATAGTAAGGTAAAAGGTAACGAAAAAAGCAGTTGTAAGATGAGTATGTAATATATATTTAAATCATAGTCCGCTTTAAAAAAAATACTCATACTAAATTATTACGTGAAGCAATAGAAACATCCCAAGAAAATATCCCGTGATACTTAGAAAGTTCAAATCTAGTGTTGATGTTGTTTTCTATTACATATTCGATTATTTCCCTATTATTAACCGTTATTACTAAGGGAATAATAATTTGGCCTCCGCAGTAGTTAATATATTATTTATCACATGATACTCTACGTGACAAATAATTATTTTTATTCTAGCAGAAAACGAAAATTACTAGCATCGATAAATAAGAAATAGTAGCGCAGATCATATAAGCCACGGGGCGTTATCAGGAAAGTAATGCAAACACTACATAATTTGAAAAAAATTCTGAACGATGATGTCGATCACCACTGTAAAGTTATTTGCGAAAAGTGGCGGAATATTCCTTTTTCTCTGATAAATACTATCTCCAAAATAACCTGGTTCACATGTACTGTTCATTTAAAAATCAAATTTGCGTTTGTCTTTCAGATGTTCAGATAATGCACGAACTTAATGATTTATCAAATTTCGCGTAACAGGTAATTTTTAAATCTCAATTTGTATGAAAATTGATGATCATATCTCAGTTTGTAATCAAATTTGATAATGTATTAACTTTTCTATAATTATAATCAAATTTCACGTTTGCCCAAATAATATTTAATCTCAGCTTGTCGAACTTAATGATCCAATTTATTCACATGTATTGTTCATATATAATCAAATTTCGCGTTTGTCTGTTTAAACGTTCGAATAACATCTTGGCTTGTAAGTCAAAAATCTAATATAGTAATCAGAGTGTGATTTTGATGTAATAAAATCAATTGTGAGACATATCACTTTCAGACACATAAGAAAGCTAAGTATTTAATATAAAAATATCGATTCTACCCCATTTTAAAATTAAAAAATTAAATTCTAAAATTCAAATAATTTTACAATGTCAACAAGCACACAAGTAAAGGGAGACACGTTGGAGTATAATGTTAAGGAGAAGTTCGAAGAGATCAATGTCATAGTACAAGGAGTAAAGTGAGTGTTATGTTGAGATGTTGGATATGTTGTATCGGCAGGTGCTTGCACCGGGTCACATATTACATTAGTATTTCACAGATACATTCCATGGCTCCAGATATTTATCTACGTGAAGGAGTAGAGGCTATGTATATTGCTCTCGTGTTTTCGAGAAAAACTGCTTTTATCTGGTGTTTCATGGCAACTCATGGTGTGGCTATACTTGTTACTTCAGATAACGTCGGCAGTCTAATCGGGCAAAGTCTGGTGGTACTTGTATATAAAGGTCATACTGTGTTTTGTGTGGCAGCACGGTCGAACCGGGCCTAAAGTGTTATCAGTGTTATACTGTCCTATAGATATGGGCTGTCTGGTCTAACCGGGGCTATCTGTATGGCAACAATGATGATACATTTCACTCATTCATTTTATTTATTTCAGGACGAGTTACAAGACAAATAAAGGGAATATTATAACAGGTGATGGCGGAGCTGATTTGATTGGCGAGTACAGAAATGTAAAGTTTATTGTACAATGTAAAAACTTTACTAATGAGAAAGTACATCCTTCTCTTATTAGAGATTTTATTGTATGTATTATTATTATTATTTGAAATTTAAATTTTATATGACCTCAATGATAAAGTCAATAATTTTTCAGGGGACTTTATCAAAATATTCCACCGGAACATTAGGTATTTTTGTAACAACTGTCGGTTACACGAAGTCATCATTTGAGGAGGCCGAAAATTCAGATTACGATATTATATTAACTGATTTACCAAATCTGATAAAAAAATTTACATCATATATAAATAAAAGAACAAAAAGGAGCTCCTCAAATGATGACAATGAATTCATCACGGTTGAAAGTGCAGAATTCGAAAACATTGAAGTAGAAAAAGATGCTACTTTATCAATATTTGGAATAGAGATAAAGGGTAAAGTGAGTTTAAAGAATATAAAACTTAATAATTTATCTATTAAACGAAGAAAATTGGACAATTAATTTCCATTTACATTTATTATTTATTAAATCAATTTAATATTTTTCATTAAAAGGCCAATAATCCGTTTATAATTTATTTTTTTTTTGTTTATTGTTTGTTCGTAGTATGTTCAACAATCTGCATGATGGTAGATGCCACCACAGCAGGCACATGATCTTATTCAGATTTTTTTATAGTCGATTTTACGAAAACCTTGATAAGAAGTTTAAAATAATAATACGAATCATTAGATAACAAATTATTTATTTCAATAATTAAAAATTTTTAAGTATATAGTCTTCATAATCCCTCATATTGGATGGGTATAATAAATGCACAGAATTCAAAATCATCTTATTAGTACCAGAATCTCAGTTCAACCTAAACGTCCCAGTTATTGTTTTTAGACGATTTTTCTTTTTAGGGAATATTAGTATCAAATACCAAATATTTATCATAAAGAAATATATATATTATGTAATTACATTTTTCATAAATTTTTAAATAATATTATTGGTGATAATTAAAATTATTTGGATTATAAACTAACGGAGGCATCGCTATCACAGTTTTTATCAAGGCGCCAGTTGGCAATTGGGTTATCTTTCTGATTAAACTGACTAACGCTCCATTAAATTTTGCGAGACGATCAGATTTCCAACCACTAACTATACTCCGCATATGCAGAATGCTAAGAATGATTGAGTCTATATTATCAAATATGGTATTTATGTGAGCATGAATCATTTTTCCTTAATGATGTATTTAGGTGAGCAGCTGAGTGGGGCAAATATGTTATCTGAACTGAATTTTATATTGGTGTATAACATTCCTAAAGAATTACTGTTAGAATACGATCACTTTGATCTAAGCTAAATCTCGCTAAAACCCTAAGAAATGGAAGCATGTAGTGCGAAAATCTCGTAATCGGATTTTTAACGAAGCTGATGATCACGCCTCATTATATGGTCCTCAAGCAGAAATGCTATATTTTAATCACCACCTTGCCCATCTTCTAACAAAAATCAGTTGGCACTTATGGTAGTGGTAATCGTAACACTAATCATTTATTTGGTCCTGGTTGGGAAGCATTACTTTTTAATATAGAAGATGATGGTCCACTACACGATATTATTGCGTTAACATAAATTGAGCCTCGGAAACAAACAACTAGACTATTACGTATAATGTAACTCTTTGATAAGTTTGCTTGTCATCTAACTTTATTGATACCTATTTCACAAATAAATACAACACTAACTTTCTAATTATGTATATTCCGGTCATTGCATTAATGTCATTTGTATCACTGATCGATAATTACAAAGTGAATAAGTTCGACATGATAAATTTGTTATCACAAAAAATAGCATTGCGAGGTATTATCTTGGGAAGGTTCGCTAAATTCAGTCTGAGCTTTTTTATTTAAAAGTGGGATTATGATTTAACTATAAAAACATGCTCATCCCGTAATAAATTTTTTCGTTACTTTTTTACTTACTATACAAGTCAACGATCTCGTAGGACATGTACAGTACATGCCATAGATACTTTAAACGAAAAAGGATGTTTCAGAATTTATGTTGTTTCTTCCATGTTTTGATACATTAAGAGACCCATTGTTAGCAATGATCCGTGTTTATTGTTCAAATTTCATTTCGCCCTTTTCAATGAAACGTAAATAGGAGATTTTAAAAGGAATATAATAGTTTCATATTTGCAGTATAATGATTTACCGTCCAATCGAACGCGAATAATAATATGATGCAAAGGCAATTATAATATGCTATTTTTGTCACACCATATGGTATGATCCGCACTGGCTAGGTGTTTATTATAACACAAAGCCAACGAACGTTATCATACTTGATGCTATAACATTTACTGCTAACAGTGTAGCCTTTCATCCAGGCTGCGATGGTAGATTCTCTGTCGCGAGATTTACTGCACCGAAGGATGGAAATTATGCCATAAGCGCAACTTTTGCACACATTTCTAGTTGTGCAGAACATTCAGGCGCTAGGAGCTTATATAGTATATAATAACTTAATGACGCTTTGGGAAGTAGACCTAGCCGGTCCAAGAGATTCGAAATCGTTCAAAACAACTATATGACATGGGACCCTCAGGTATCGATGTCACGTGATGTTATTGTCTATTAGTAATATGTCCCGCCGTCAATTGCGATTGTTTCGTAATCAGTGCTGGTAGTAGCGTTTTCCTACCAGTATAGTTTAGTTCGAAGGGTGAGGTCTTGCATAACTGCTTAGTCTACTTTGTGGGATTAAATTCGCAATTCTAATAACCTGAATAGTCCCTGTATTCCTTTATGTATATATACTATTAATGTTATGGATACCGATAACTACTCTTCTAGAAATAAAATAAATAAAATAAATAAGATTGTTTCGTAACAGTATAGATTTATGAAAATTTTGGTAAACAATGAATATTTATGTTCACTCAACATCGCTTTCATGTCGAATTGTAACTCCGATTATAGATTATTATTTTGTCTGTTGACTGATCAGGTGTGCATTTTTTAATACATTTCGTACAATCATTATTAACATGGTCTTATGGAATTTGATAGCAAATAGAGATTAACATTCGTATTACACAAAAATAATAGGGTTTGATGTCACTACATACAAGCGAAACCCTCAAGATAACTGATAAGGAGAAGAGTAGACGTCACTCTTAGCCTGCGATGCAAAAAGCTATAGATAAAATACTCCGGGTTTATTGGTATTAATAGCGGGCAATGATAATTAAGAATGGCCCATAACGGATACTGTAGAAAAAAATTGGGCAGTTGGGTGTGGTTCTGGGAATCCAATATGAAAATACAAAACTTTTAGAAACCTCTTTACGACAAGTAGTAATATTAAGTATTAATGACGTGTTATCACAACAGGGAAATAGTCGGAATAGGCTTTCCCTCGACTGTCTTGCCTCTTATTTTCATTGACATGATCCACATAATTATAAATTGCATGGACGAACACAAGATTCTAATCGCATCATTTGACGTTATTTCCCTATCAGGATCCAGCTTTCATGGTCAATACACGAAATTATTGGCTAGCTAAAGTTTCGTGTCATCCCTTAGGTACCATATAGCTTATGTAGCACGTCTATGAAATACAGCAACTATAGTAGATTTCTTTGTAGTATTGACATATGGTTCTAGTCACCAGCTAGTGTGTGGATATCAAACTAATCGTTAACACGAGTGTACTATTATTTTTTTGCTAGAATGGGGTCAGAATTGCTTCATTTAATTTCAAACAAAACTAACAATTGTACGATCATCGTTGACATATCGAATTTTGTCCTACTACTAAGTATGGTATTCCGATAGATTCATTCTTCATTATAAGCATAACAACCGACCTTTGGATTATAATAAGTTTATGCTGATCCATAATGTCGGAACTTTACAGATTGGAGAGACAAACATTGCATTTGAATTTATGCGCATGTTGAACAGCTTAGAATATTTGCGTACAAATATACTGTATTCCGATTTGTTTCCATTCCTCACAATGTAGCTTTGCAAGTCATGATATCGTTTCCAGATACTACGAGGATACCGACGATTTCGCTGTTTATTTCGTAAAAGCACCCAGGTGTTATAGATTATTGTGATAATGCCAATGACGAAATCCTCGTATCTTATACCCATGATGACAAAGATAGTTTCTATTAGAAAGGGTATCGAGGGCACTCAGTGTCATAAGTTCGATGTGAGGGATGTAGTAGATGGAAAGCACTTAATCTTATTTATTATGGAACCGGATATTTTGGGCGTAGCCCAGTCTTCGACTGAAAATTATTTCGTTGATATGCACCATCTACGGGCACAACACGAACAGTTCTGTGAAAACTGACATTGAGGATATCGAAGTGGAGCGGAATAATATGGGAGAATTATTTGTATTTTGTTTCGAATACCAAAGGGGAAATCAAAACCAACATCTGAAGAAGAAAGGGAAAACTGGCAAGAATATGCAAGGAAGAAGCGAAGGATCTTACTAAAAAGCAATACGAAATCGTAAAAATACTTATAATGACACCAACTTTATTTTGTACTACAATGCGCCAACTAACTATTTTACATACTTTGCAGAAACTATAAAATTTTTTCCGATGTCAATATGGTATTGATCTGTCTCTTATACACATCTAGATGTGTATAAGAGACAGGTTACCATTAAGTAACGGTAAAATAACTGCACATCATCAGTTATCGTTACAATGTTATCACTATATTATTATACGAATCTTCAAGACATCAAATTAAAGTCGAAAAGATTTATTATAATGTATTTTTAATAACTTATCAGTATCGTATAAATATTAGAACAATTATGTAACGATATATTAACGATATATGAGCTGTATTAATTAATAAATAACAAAATTTATTGCAAATTACTATTAAATAGCCTTAAAGTAGTACAAGTTTCTTATATAGTTAGTATTCAGTAAATCATGAGACTATTACTACAATAATGAAGAAAATGCGCATTATTAAATAAAACTATCGCAGATAATGGAAAAACATGTCGCCATCTATTATCGGTTTGTATTCTATATAAGTCTAGTCCGATTAGTCTCTTCAAACCATTTCACAATAATAAATACATACAACTTATTATCGTTACCTTTGTGACTAAAAATTGCTTCAACAATAGCGTAACTTTCATTGTAATCTTGTATTTGCATCTCCAATACGCAAGTAATTTTTAGTGAAAGTGCCATGTTCATTTTTGTAAAAATATGTCGCGAGTTCATAAATGAAAATTTTTTTGTGTATCAAGGCAGCATTATAACCCATATCTGAATATGATATCATTAATTCAGATCGGAATAAGGGTCCATATAGATCTACAGAACGTTCCCTAGCTAGCTTTAGTATTGATATACGTTGCCTAAGAGATAACTTAACAATATTTTCGGCATTTGTTTGTACTAAAGAATAGAACAAAGTAAAAAATAATCTAATATAATAAAACCAATGAAATATTAAAAACTAACCATTTGTTTCAATCATAAGGTTGTTCTTCAATAATAAACCAATCACCAGCTATCCGTGCAAAATCATCTGATAAATTAGTGAAACCTTCACAAAATTTGGATATCCTTGGATCAATGCCACCGTCAATTAAGTGTCGTAATGCAAAAAGTATCGTATATCGTTTCATTAAATCCAATTCAATATTTTTTCAATTCATCTTTGGTACCATTCCCTTAAAAATTTTATGTACTGTACAATTTCTTTGACACCTACAATTTGTAGCCATCGTTTCCATATAAAATAGCCAAAAGACGTCCTAGTTTTCTTCTATTATTGTCATTATAGCATAAATATTCTCCAATTTGATATTTAACTATAAAAAAATAAATATTTAAAATTCTAAATAAGCTATTCCTATAAAAATTAAATACTGTACTATATATATTTCTCGATAAATATTACCTTGTCTTATATTATTATCATTATTAAAATTGTCATCACTGTCATCTTCGTTCAGATCATTATCATCATTATTAAAGTTGTTGTAACTGTCATCTTCGTTCAGATTATTATCATCATCGTTAAAATCGTTGTAACTGTCATCTTCATTTAGATTATCATCATTGTCATCATTTATATTTATATTATTAGCCTCACCTATATAATTATCTTTTTCGTTCAAATTATCATCGTTTATATTTAAATTATTACTATTCAAGTTGACTTAAAACATTTGAAGATGTGTTTGTAAAAAACTTATGGCGTAAATAAAATGGTTTTTTATGTAAAGAATTACTTCTATTTCGAATCATGCTTATATTTTTTTAAAATATTTTAAAAGTAGAAATAAAAAATTTTTAAGAAAACTTTACCAAAAAATATATTTAGGTTAAAAATAAAATTTTTATGAGAACAACTTTACCGAAAAATATATTTAAGTTAGAATTAGTTAGGCTTTTTATTCATATTAGTCATAATATCTTTTTTTATTAATATTAGTCATATAAAAAGTCAAAAAAAGTTAAATCGCGTTAATTAGTAATCAATAAATAACATCAGATTTTATTGGAAGCGAAAATTAAACTCTACGATATTAATAAGCTAAGTAAAAAATATATAATAGGATCATATTAATTTATTATTGATAATCTAGTCAATTCTCTCTTTAAAAAATAAATTGCTGAAATAATAAAAACTATCATGCCACCAAAAACATGTAATAATAGTAGAATTCAAGAAAAAGTAGTACAGACTACTTAGACTACTTTAATTCAAAATAAACAGAAACGAACATATACTAGGCAAAAAAAAGCAGAAACGCTGCAATCTACTATAATTGGTGTTGAAAGGTCACAGAAAAAACAAAAATGATCATATACTAGTAGACAAAAAGAAGCAGCAATACAACCATCAAACTGTCAAATTTCTTTTTTAAAAGTTTAATCAACTTCTTTTAACTTTTTGAAAAGTTTAGTTTTGATACTTTTTTTTAGTTTAAAATTTCAAAAAAAATTTTTAATGCGAGATTTTGGTATGTGCAATTTTTTTTTAATTTTATCCCTCTTTAAACGAACATTATTAACACTTTACATTTTTTTTAGGAAGTTTTTATGTTTCTTGAATGTGAAATTTTGATAAGTGCAAATTTTCTACTTTTCTTCTTTATCTGTCTTCTAATAAACATTTACTACAGTTTGTTTTCTTTCTTTTATTAGACAGTTGGTTCTTTAGCTTTTTGTTCATGAATTTCAGTGAGTTTTTCTTTGTTTCCTATAAATACTTTTAACGAATGGTTATTAATATTTCTTTTTTTTTAGATGGATCTATAATATCGATGTAACACTATTAAAGCTAAAGTTGATCGCCTTGTATACAGTACCAATGTACCGAATTCAAAAATCTATCTTTCAATATATCAAGGCGATGGTACGAATATTAGAGTCATGGGATCTCGGTAGGAAATCAGTTCATTTCTCTTAACAAAACATTTCCTAATATGTTACATTTATACTTTTTTAGATAGTTGTTTCTTCGGATTCATTAGACACATGAGAATTCGGAAAGTGGGTTTTTCTTTGTGTCAACTTATTATTTTAACAAAACATCTCTTGACATTTCAACCCTTTCTTTTTAGGTGAATCTGGACGTATGGGAAACCTTAATAAAAAATGGCTTTTAACTTTTTTTTGTATGGAAGAATTAGCTCCAACTTGAGAATTGAAATTCCAGGTGAACACGGAGATCATCAGGTCAATCAGATGATTGTATGATACCATTGTCCAAATCAGGTCCCCACCTTGTTATAGTTGTGTCACCAAGGGCGCTATGTCAACGGAAATTTAGTACGTTGATCGCTTAAAAATCCGCGGCTATCCAATTATAACAAGAGGAACATTAGATAATCATGCATATATATTTTTTACATATTGAAATAATATTATTAATTACAAATGGTTATATTATAAAAGATTTTTAATTAGATTGTAATTTAAATTAATTGCTATATTTAAGTTATTTGTAATTTACGAAAATTTTATGTTGTTAGCAAAGTAATTTATAATGTTTTTAAAATACCGTGAAAATACCTATAATACGCTTTTCTATGTATATTTTCAATGAATTAACAATATTATAAAAAGAATTGTTCCGATGCAGTCAAAATACTGTGTAAATCTCATTGTGATACTGGATTAACATCGGAACAATTCATTAATAAAAAAGGATCGTCATATTACCCTAAATATATCTTGCATATATCTTAGTAATGACGCAATGATACCTCGCAAAAATTCAAGGTTTCTGCAAAGTAAGCAATTTCATCATCTGGTATAATTAGGGTATCAATCCATGGTTTATTATGCAGAGCATCATGTATCGTCTCCATTCTGTTATTATTTTCGTATATCTTTTTAGTATCAACCAACTGACAGATAATAAACGAGCTTCGAAATCAAGGTCAGATATGTGTCAACAAGATACTATACTTTTCTATGACTACTTTTGTGAGATGATTTTTACTGTAGTGCTGGCATCGGAATTCTATAAAGAGCGATTGCAGTATTTGATGTGGTTAGCTCATGTTTGATTTCACATTTTTTATGTTCGTCCGTTTGGCCATCAACTATCCCATTGATGAATAACGTAATGCATTATTATGGATAAAACGTTTACTAAAAATTATCGTTGATCTACAACTCTTTCGGAAGCGAACTCGTTGATGTTTTCTTTCGAATCTGGAATAATTACGTTCAAGATTCTTATTGTAACACGGTGCAACGGGATTATTTCGTAACCGGAGACATTTATCGTAAAATGTAGTGTTGATATTGTGTTATCATAGTATGCCAAATATTAGACTCCCACATTTTTTCTACACGTGAACGAGCAAGGCGAAAATATTAGGGCTCTTGCCGAAACAAAGAGGTGTGATTATTCATCAACAACACGATAATTAAGATCTAATCCCATGATTACATACTTGGGATCATGAGAAACAAAGTCGTAAACTATTCTTCAAAATAAGTGGTCCCAATTGCCTTTGTCGTCGTTGTTCTTAGTCAATTGATCGTGACATTTCGTTAACAGTTTGTGTATTACACTTTTCCATACACCCACCTGAGCAAGGTGTAGAGTTTGTAGAGTCATAGAATTGGAGATCAAGATAACGAGAAACAGAGCTATTAATACATGATGCATTTATCTGTTATAGTTGATATTAATAAAAAAAAAGGATACACCATAAATTCTTGCAATAAAAAAGAACTCTTGTTGATTTTACATGTGGGTAGTATTAAGGTTTTCTATTCTGACCGACATTATAAATTTGGCCAGAATTATAATTATTATAAGTTGGGATAAATTAAATGGACTGGTTACCGACAGATAGCAAGTAAATATCTTATGCGATATCAATAAGTAATATGGCTATTTTTGTAACAGATGAAAAAAACGAAAATAATTAATATAATGGAGAGCAGTCTTAGTATTGGACAACAAAGAATACAAGGATCTTTGTCAATATTCCATAGTTATGCGCAGTTTAGTGGAACTATGAATGTCAACCGTGACCCACGGTCACAGCCTTCTTGTTGAGAATATATTTTCTGCTGCGGACAGTAACAGTGACTAGTACAGGATATATTAAATTGCAGATCAGAAATAAATATGAATATTCGATTCGTTTGTTTTCCATTTAGTTACACCTTTGGTTCACCAATTAACCCGTTAGAAACAAACCGCTTTTTATATTGTCAAAAGTAATCGTAAAATTATTACATAAAATACTGGTTAAGAATTTTCGGAGACATTCTTTGCGTTGCATCGGCAAAAACTTTTGTGTTTAAAATGCCCAAACAATCTAACACGATACCTATTTACCACTAAGGAAATTAAGTTAAGACTATCATTATAGTGAGAGTATTTATTTTTTCGAAACGTAAAAAAGAGTGAACTTTCTTTTATCGGTAATTTGTACACAATGTTCGGAGTTTCGGAAATAGACTAGTTTACATATATTTGTCGCAACGAGGATAGTATTGTGGACAAATCTGAATCGAATCTAAGTAACATAGGTTGCTAATGGATGACATCTCAAGATTGCGTACTAATGAAAGTTACATTATAACTTGAATTGTAACATAATAAGACGTGGATTTATTGGAACTAGTTTTATCATTCATGTACTTGATCACAAGGGAACAAAGTTCGTAACAACAAAAAATATAAACCTGCTTTCTTGAAGCTTACTTAGGACAAACTGTCAACGCTTGACAGTTTTTCAATAGTCTAAAAAGGTTCCATCGGGTGCGAACAGAATACTAGTGTCTCAACTATTAATCATAACCCCAATACCGTACTTTTTTAGTAGAACCTCGTTATACGCAACAACAAAAAACTTATTCGACACTTGACCTTTCCCATGTAACTAATACATTTTGTTTATTGAGAATATGTCATCAGGACGAAAAAAAGATAAACAATACATAAACTAAGAAAATATAAGAATACATTCAGAATGGGGATAACCCCTTACTTCGGGATGTGGATAAAAACAGTGGGTGCGATTTCTTACAATACAGTTAACTCAACGTTAATGTTGACCCTATAGTTATCCGCCCATACTATTTTATATAGGTCATTATCATCTTCTACGTTCTTAACCTCGTAGGTTTCAACATCTTCGCTTTTGATTTTCAACGACTGATAGTCGATGTTGCTGATTTCGGTAAAAACTGAACTAAGTTTATTTTTAAAATGGGACAATGATCCTATATCCTGCGTTATCTGCCATATAAATTTTCTTGTTTCGTGTTTGTACTTGACAGTACAGTTAACTTCCTTCCAGTGAACGGGTGTAACGACGAGGTGAATATTTTCTTTTACGAAGGGACGAAATTCAAATGACAAGAAAGTCTCAATTGGTTTCCATGGTTCTCTCAATTTCACCAAGTTAGGCTCAGAACCTCTAAGTTGGCTAGGAGGGAAATTAAGCTTATACAGATCCATTTGTGTAATGCTAACGTTGTTAAACCTCGGTTTTACCGTTTTCTTGATCAAAGACTTTAGGTTACTAACTGTTTTGTCCATAGGGATTTCTACAGAAAACATATTTTCTTTACCATCTCCGGAGATTATACAGTTAAAAGTAGCTGTCGTAATTTCTTTTTTCAAAATGCGTTTTAGTAGGAGACCAATTTTTTTTCGAAAAATTAGCATAGCGCAATTTTATCTGTTCAATAAGTGCTGCGCACGGCATGATTAGTCCGTAAGACTTTCAAAGAAGTAACTTACTTGTTATTTCTCGTTTATTTAATTAACCCGTCCATCGTAGAAGGAAGATACAATTTATAATTTATTATATACCCCCTGAGGATCAGTGGCAGAATTTTTTTCCGTTATTTTGGTGCACTATTCCATTTCCATTTTTTCATATGTAGTCGATCATTAGTCATTTGTGTAATAAAACATCATGCCTGATCACCGCAATGGAATAACTAATCGATAAAAAGAACAAATCATAATGGTTGAAATTAATTCTGCGGGCTTGGCGTGTCTTAGGCTGATCTGTATACCACAACTAAATGTTCATTGGTATACTGTAAAAGAGGGTAATCATCTATGAATTATTCATAATTTGTATATTTTATTAAGGTATACTCAGTTAGTCAAACCGTGAACAAAGAATTTTTTAAGAATGTCCATGCTTACTAGATGGAGAACTCTAATGATCGTATCATTACTCTGACGATCAATGGGATAAAAAATTGGCAGCAGATGATACACAAGATACGAAACAAATTATTTATAATATATGTATATACTGTTTTTTCTATTTTCGGGTAAATTATGTGTAACAGTTTTTATCGCTTATCATATTTATGCGGTCATCGACTTATATTGAAAATACATGGTGATCGCCAAAATTTAGCATGACGATCCTTTTGTAATACAAAATTGGCTAGTTCCGGAGATGCCATATTTCGTTACTAACACCTATCAAGAATAAATCGGCCCTTCTTTCGGCCCACTCAGCCATTTACGGTATTCCGAAACCTAATTCTTTGTAGAACAAATAAGTGAAACTAGTTTCGATCTCAGTATGTGGTTGATCATTCATCATATGACTTGTGACCATCACCGCAGTAAGATAAAATGTTGACAATAACAATTGGAATTACCGTGGGCATGATCAACATATAATGCAAATGATAGTTAAGAGTACTGTGTCTCGTTCTTCAGAACAGCCTTTTTTATTAATGTTATATCTGTCTTGTCTTAAAAATGAAAGGTACTGCGCACATGGCCGCATAAATTATTACGTATTCATTTCTGCATATTACAGTGGTGAGCATAATTATTTGGAAAAAAGAAGAGGCGAAATACTCACCCTTCGGGTGGTTTTACTAGGCCATGCCTACGAAGTAAAAAATATGTTAAAAGCAGTATAAAATAGCGATATTCCACAATATCATTCCAAATAATTTTGATCTTCGAGCAGTGGGCTTCGCCCAGCCAAGGGCTCTCCGACTGATCACCGCTGTAGTTAAACGCAGTAATGCTTATTTATGTCAGCTTACATAAGAAACATAGAAACCATAACAATCTCTTCAGCAGAAATTAATTTCTTACATGTAGTACAGATCATCCTGCTACACTCTGAATATGAAAATTTTTTGTACATTCTTCAGCGACGCAAAAAATTTCTTGGTAATCTACTTCGTACCCGGAGGGTAGTCCACTTCGTCTAGTGACAGAATAAGAATAACGTTGTCTATTATTCGAGTGATAAGCTCTTGGTCACAATACCTACCAACATTAATAGTAAGAGCTCCACTCATACTTTCTTATGTTCGTGTGTCTTATGAATGGTTATACGAGAATATTTGTTTTCTTTTTCTACCCAGAGGGTGTGAAGTAGGATGAAATGCAAAAACAAAGATAAACGTACGAATTTCTTAGGAAAAGACTCTGCACTTACCGTTATCGTGAGTAGTACCTCATTATTATGATAGGAACATTACAGTAGCACTCGATGTAGATATGTTTTTGAAAAGATTATTACGTAGAAATGTTTCAGGAGACGAACGAGCTACAGAATGAATATTTGGTCCGCATTAATCTACCACAACAATTCCTACTCAAGGGACCACTTCTTATTTACAATGTACTCGACAAGGAATAAATATGGGAAGACGACGATGGCTATAGTGATGGCATTATATTACAAATACGTAGAAGAAGACATACATTTACGGTTAGCTGAAATTTTACAGAGCATAAATACGTACAACAACCAGGAGTTATTTACAAAATACCAATACCCGATGGAGAGTTAATACTGGAAGGAGGATAGGCGTAGAGCGTGGAAATTATATTTCAAAGATAAGAAGATACGCATCCATATTTAGCTGAAACGTTTACAGAGCAGAGTATTTAGCTACCATGTTCATTTCCATTTTCGTTTATTCTAATATACTGTGTTATCATAAATCAGGGATGCAAATTCTTCCTCCGGTCTTTCTACCGAATTTTCAGAAAACATGTGAACTTGTTCACGGCTTTTGTAACAGCAATAGACTATATAATTGTAATAATTGATGGTGTTATGACACTCTTCAACGAACATTAATGTTAAATTAAACGTAATGCAGTCATCTATGAGAATGTTCGGATAAAAATTCGAATATGGGCCTTCTAATAACCAGATGCCTCTGTCTGCACAAAAATGACTAATGTTATTTGGATAGCCGGATTTACCTAAAATACTCTAAAGATGACAATTCGCTATATGCTGAAGAGCAGAAATCAGACAGTTACGATAATTAATACACTGGAACACAGAGCGAAGTGGGTAAGGACAATAAATACTTTGGAACTCCGGAGCTAGGAATTGTAATGGTAGACTATTTGTTATTAGATGTAGTTGCACAAGACTAATATTCGTCCTATTTAGCCGGATATTCTAGAAAGATAACAGATTCTACGTATAGAAATGAATTCAGAATGCAAAAAAATAATACGCTTTTTATGTTTTTATAGTTCTCCATCGGTTCTTAATATTTCGGTCATCTGCTGTTATTAAACACGTTGTTGCTATCGTTACCAAATTCTGGATGAACGCATGTAGTGAACAATAAATAGTGTCAATATGTTTTTCTAATTTATTCGGAAGTAGAATACCATTCAGTTTAGGACTCTGTTAATCACTCCTACGTAAACAGGTCTCACTTATCTAATCTATATGTTTCTCCTTAAACTCTTCCCGTGTTCTCTGAAAGGAACCATTCCTTTTAAGAATGCAGATTTTCACAAATTCTACGTTAATTATGTAGCTATACTGATCTTATCCCAGGACTTATATCGGCTTTCAAGTGTGGAATGGCGATAATAAAAAACACAGTTTCCGTCGAATTTCGAATATAAGTAGGTAAACTAGGTTTTATTTGCCTATTTGAGTATACACCTGTGCATATTATCAGCTAACGAATGGGTCACGTAATGAAAAATTGTTAAAACACTCAGTGAAACTGATGGAGCTCACACGTGGGCAAAGCTCAGTAGGAGACAGCCTAGAGGGCGCAAGGTTGATAACCGCATAGACTAATAGTCTTTATAAGTCATATTTAGTACTGGCAAAAGTTCTAGCTAAATTCCTGTTTGGGAAAATTCATTGAAGACGTTTTCACAATCAATTCGTTTCGCCTGTTTTCTTTTCGTGATAACAATTTTCTTGCCTCATAGGGAGATATGCTCATTTTGCATTTGATAAGGTAAACCGTGAGAGGGAATTGATGTGGAAGGATTTTTAAGTGACATCTCCCAACCTTTCGTTTTGACCAGCCATGTATGTATAAATAACGAAGGGATTGAGCTACATGTTTATTCAGCTCATTAATCAACAGAGAAAATGTATTTTTATCGTATACGTACATCCCAAATGTATGCAGTTTGGACATATACTGTAACTTACTGCCTAGGTTTTCTATCCATTCGTAATTCTTGTCTAAGTTGTTATAACAAACGTGGAGTTCTCTGAGAGTAGGTGCTAGTAAGTTTATCCATGAGAAATCCTGGTTTTCAAAACCTGGAATATATATGTCTAAAAACCTAATTTGACGAAGCATTGGTGATCTCAGAATTACATTTCTGTCCGTAACGAGCATAATTGATTCAAGTTTTGCACCTATCAGTCGCACGTTATATCTTTCTAGAGCATGAATCACATTCGTGAATAAGTTCGGGTCTGCTGTGATTGAGTTATATAGTTCCCCAAAGAAAGGACTGGAAAACTCTTCCCGAGTAATAGCTGATACTCCCAACAATACAACTTGCTTTAGTATGTCAAAATCCAGATATTTTAAATATTTAGGGTATTCGAAAAGTGGTCTTTTTGGAAGTAAAAATGGGCATCCATACGAGAAATATAACAGAAGCCTAACAAGAACCGTATCCTTGGGGTGAATCCTAAAAGAATACAACTGTTGAGAAGCAAACTTTTCGTAGTATGCGAACGGGTATTTCCATAAAAATGGAATGCCTATTCGGCACCACATTCTGTTAAGTTGAACACACTGATATAAAGTTGGAAACCCATCCCAGAATAACTCATCACAAATTTTCGTAATTAGTTCAACCGAATTCATGCGAGTTATTCGAGCAGAGTTATTTACTAGTGGAACAGTTAATTCAATTTCTCTACCACCGCAAGTGACATGTTTTTGGGTAGAAAAATTACAAACAAATGGCAGGAGAATCATAACCAGAATAAAACCATTTTCATCATGAAGGGAAATAGAATTCCAGTTCTGTGAAAAGGAAATCCTTACGGAAGTACTCGTTTCAAACTTTCTATATCTGATGTCTTCTACATTTCCCGCAAATAGCTTCGACTGCTCATGATCCAGTACATACTCTGCCTTTTATGATAACGGTCTAAGATTACGTCGATCACTTATTCAACCATCTTGGAATATGGGAGAGAATGGACACAAGTTCAACGAATCCTAATCAGAAAATGAATACTTTTTGACGTTGAGCTTACTTATTCGCTTCATTTCCATTTTTGGGCAAAGCTAGTTTCACCAGAAATCAATCTAAAGGTGTCCATTATAGTGTGCTAATATCATACTTGTTAACATCCCACTGGACAGCTCCAACAACAAACGCCTTTGCTGAAATAATTGTAGTCGTTAATTCACTTCGTTGGCAAAGCCAGTCTCAGCAAATCATATAATTATTTTATATATCATAACCGTTGTCCACTCTCGCTTTAACACCTTCCCTTTCTTCTCTGCAGTTGTGCAGGCTATTCTCCTTAGAATATGTCATTAGAAATTATAGTCACGTGACAAACTATGCATTGCTCAGAGTGTCATATGACCATGTTGATCGTGTTACACATGATAAAAAAGATAAGCAAAATGATCTGCGTTACAATTTGTACCCGAATCACGTGCTCTTCGAGTGTCTCAACTAATTTTCTTACCCATTAGTCCGTATAACTGTCAAAGAAGTGCATATGGGTAGTTATACTGAGAGTACCTCCTATTCCGCAGGAACTCAGTCAGAGAGCCCTTGGCTGGGCAAAGCCCAGTGCTCAAAGTCACGTGATTTTAGCAACCATGTTCGCAAAACTAGAATAAGCTTTTAAGTGTATTAAAAAATTGGAAATAGGTAGTACCATCGGGTTTTTTTGCGACCTATAAAATGTGAGCTATGCTCCTCACTTCCTTTCGAAGGGCCATTCGAGGACTAATAATCTTCGTTTCCTTAGAAAATCATGGTGATTTTCGTATACATTTTGTTATAATTCATCTATAATTCATCTGTAGTAATATGCTTCAGTGCCGTTCAGGGAATTAGTGTATGAAGATCACATGTGTTACCTGTGAATGTATGCAAGAAAATCCTGTATAAATTTTCGAGTGAAATTAGAAATTTACCTGAAGTGTGAAAGTGTACAGATGCCCAGTTTCTCGATAGGATAACAACAGCAATGATATTAGCAGAGAATCTCGTCATCGAACAAGGAATACTATTTGTAATAACTAGCAGTATTCTCTATAAATTTCCCAGGCTACTCCTAGTTCTACCATTAGGAACAGTGGAACGGCATTTTCTAAGGCCTTTGAGCCTATGAACGTAGGTTCCTACCTGAAAGGTACTACGTAGAACCTCCTCTTGTTAAAAGCGCACCCTTTGTGTGGTTTTAGTGGAACTGGACGAAGTCCAGTGGTTGAGCGGCAAGAGCCCCTTGGCTGGGTAAAACCCACGGTCAGTTCATAGGCTAAAAGCGTAAAAGATGGAATCCACCCAGAGGGTATACTGTAAGCTCCTAATAGTTGAGCAACTAGGCGCTCAGGTCACACGTTAACATCTGTAGCGTAATGAACAACAACGAGACCGTGACCCGTGTGTCTGTTGTCTTTCTTCATTGTTTACAAAAATAGTGGATTGATTACGTGATCGAATAGCAATTCCGGATATGAATTCCATGGGGCTGTCACACATATTCCAGAACAAAGCGAAAAATAGGTAGAATTGTAGTACAGTAACAAAGAGCTTGGCCGCTTAGTAATAGGATGCTTTAGCCTCCTCTTTTGCTTTATTAATAACGTGACATGAATTTGCCTATATTACTGCAACCAAAATTTCTGGTTAAAGTACTTTCTTTTCTACCAAGTAGATCGCTATGATATAGAATATTACAAGAAATACTCCCTGTATCATTACCCCCCAGGTAGTTGGGGTTCGTCCAGAAACAGTTTTTTCTCCGAATTGCGAGATCACACTGAAAACAAAAACATCGCTCACAACTAATAAGAAAAGTATATAAAGGAACACTAGTAGCTTTAGTCTGACCCATTTCTCACTTAGTGGATGGTCAGGGGTTTCCTGATTACTTAAATTGATCGGCACCGAATCTTTCATTTTTTATATATTCGAAATATTTGTGAAAACACGAAGATAAATGGTGTATCTACTAATAGGCAACACCGGCATATGTCTCCATAATTGTTGGTATAGTGTTCCTTTAGCATAGACATTTTTGGAAACTAGTTATTGTTTTTCGTTCCATAGGACGGGTTTTCGCACAAAGCTGCTTCAATGAAATTATGAAAACAGTCCACTTAAGTTTTTTCTTATACTATCAACGCTTTGCCTCACACATGGTATTAGATTGTCATATTTTTATTCCGTTAAATAGTAATGATGGATTACGAAAACGAAATATACGAGAAGAAAAAACAGAAAATGGACAAACTGCGTCATGTGAGAGAAAAAGGGAATGAATAGTCTTGAAATTAGAACTGAAAAGACAAAAACTTGCCAAACTGCGGCGTGCAAAGGTGGACACGAAGAACAAAGAGAATGGAGGCAGAAAAATTCAGAACGGCGGCTTACATACGAAGATACGCTCGACCAATGAATTAACAAGTACAGAATATTATACTCGCTCTCAATAAGAAAAACCAGTTGTACGCACGAGTGAATGAATGTCGTACTTAATCTATATGCCATTGTTTTTACTGCTCGGAATACTTGCATACGGTATGTAACGTTCGATTATGTAGCACGTACTCTGCTTTGTTCAGACGGCCAAAGAGGTTGTTTTGAGATTGTAATAATCAATCAAACGCTTTTACACTATGAAATAGTAAATGAACCCATGTGAATCTATTCTATAGCTCGGCTAGATTATTTGGAATAGCTAAACAAACTAAGTCTGTTGAATAGAGTTTCTCCAAATGAAGTCGTCAGCGCAATTCTACTATTATTACGCATTTAATGAAATAAAACAATCGTGAGACTAATAAGAGAATTTCTGACAACAATTAAGTGAATCTCCTCTTCGATGCTGAAGAGTATTACAAGTATTGTGAAAACTGGGCTTCACTGAAACCAAAATGCCAACAATGTGCGTAGAAGTTACTTCGTAGGCTCCCCTAGTAAAGGGGTTTATGGTTTTTTTACTGAGTGTCTGAGCTTTGCTTACGAAGAAAATGAAGGCACCAATAAAGGGTGTAAACTCATCAATACGGGTTACTTGTCACTTCATATTATGGTGTGCTTCGTGTTAAGTAGAATGGGCTTATAGTTGAGAGGCGATGGGAGCTCGTTCACTGTAATAATGCTTCTAGTTATTAACTAATCTTTTTTGCCGTTTATTATCAACTAAAGTACCATTTAGTACTTTTATACGATGTAACGCTTATAGCAGGAAATACTTAAACAAAATAGCAAAGCTACGTTTATCAATTTAATAGTACATGCCATGGGCATCAGACGGTTAACAGAACTATTCTGCAACTGACGTAACTATGATAGTTGCTTGTGTTGACAGTCCTATGCGAATCTACGTGTTTTCGATGGTTAGGCTATGCATACATTTGTAATTCTGAACGTTAACTGGCACCGAAAGACCATACTCTTGTTAGAACACTCGAATCTTATTATTTCACGACTTTTGGTTTATTAGCCAATAAAACTGCACCAGACAAGATAGAAAAATAGTCTATGACCTTTCAAAGAAGTAGATAAGCGTATGCCCTTTTTAACTTATTCTTCTCGCATCCTTTTATACCCGAAGAGCCCATATGTATACTTTGCGGTTATCACCAAAACTACGAATACTCCTGTTAACGAAGTCAGTGTAGTAAACGAAATGTCGTGGTGGCATTTGTGCCCTTTGGGGTCTCTGGATGAATGAATTGTTCACACCTTTACACTAAATTTCGGTATGCATTGTTGATTTCAAAAGGACCTGCGTATATACTAACATAAATAACTTCCGTTCGATGTTCGTTGAAGACGGTTATATAATAATTCGTTTATAATTTCATAAAATGTTGTGAAGTGAACCCAGAGTAATTCTATCTACTGGAAAGTATGAAATAGTACTTGAGAAATTACTACGTTTTCCGAAGGATACCCTGGCACAGATTTGGTAATAGTAAAAAATAGAAACCGCAATCGTTACAAAAAATAGTAACCAGTTTTTTCTGTGTAGTAGTAATAACTCACATATAGGACAAAGGCTTGCACAATACGTAACAGCGTTTTATATATTTTTTCGTTATTGTTACAAAATCTACTGCGAAAAATAGTGAACACAGATTTAATACGTAACGGACATTTTTGCAGTGATTTCCGCATATTTTTTGGCTACATTTAATGCCTTTTTTAAAACTAGTGAACCTATGAATGAGAAGTTGGGTTGACACTTCTTTGAAGAAACCATAAACCTTGCATTTTCAAATGATGTCTGTTACGTTTCTCTAAGAGTTTCCGGAACAGCGTCTTTCGCTAACCCTTGTGATAGACTGCAATCAATCAAGAATAAGTATCGACTACGGAAATTAATAAGAGGGACCGCCGGAATCGAATGCATTATCGAAAATTAGCAGTAACAGGAGTTACTTCTTTGAAGGTCCATGGACTAATTTCATCTGTCAGCTATCTTTATGTTTACATATGTTATAAACTTACACCTTGTATACCAATATACGGTACTTGACCAAATCTCAGACTACTTCTTAATAGCGAGCTTATCCATCATCACGTGTGTGCACCCAAATTCATTTTACGTTAACTATTTCATATAAATTAGCTAATGTTAGGCACGATTATATAACATTATGTACTGGCGCAATTGATAGAGTAGTTTGTGATATGTTGAGGATTTTAATTATCAGATGGGCAAAACTAAACTTCGACAACGGGGTCAATTGTGACAGGACACATGATGTCTTGAACATTTGTTCAGAACATTTGTTCAGAGTACCTAAAGAGTACCCATGGGTATTATAACAAATACTATTATTAGTTGTAGTGCGAACCGTGTCGATCATATAATTCACCTTTGTGGAACGAGCGATAAAAAATTTCTTGTTTCTCGTGTTGATCCCTAAGCAGAAATGGCTGGATGTAACTGCACAACATTCAATTTTCCAGTATAACTAGGTAAAAGTATACATAAACTTCAGAATCTTGTAGCAATTACTCTAATGCAATTAGATTCAGTTTCATCCGCATACGAATTTTTCATTTCTTTACGCAGAAATTTTTTTTGCTCGTAATACAAAAAGTCGAACTGCATATTACCAGGTTTCTGCAGATTAGAATTCTGTGATTTGGCCAGAATCACGTAAAGTCGACCAACATTACAACACAAACCTATTCAGTAAAACAAAGAACACGATTATTTTTGCAAATGTAAACTTCATACTCTATTACTCTGTGTCAACAATAAACTTAAATAAGTTTTTTTTTGTCAGTGGGATTGTTAGTTATTTAATCACTCTTATTGAGCTTTTTCAAGGGACGTGTACCAGTCCCAAAAGGTACTAAAATTGTCGGATAATAATAGTTCGGATGGATAGCAGTGTATGCAGGATCGGTCACGATGACGATAGGTGATATTGGGGCTTCTTAAGTCTCGATGAAATCTATCGTGGTAATATTCCTTTGAAAACGATTTCGGAACTGAGTTTTTACATGATACTGGCGAGATTATAGGAAAGAATTGAAAGAGGGTTTTGAGGAGCATGAGCTTTGTTTAAAGCAGCGTAAAATGTTCTGGAGACTGGGCATATATTGATGAGTTGACGAATCTCCGGTAACAAGATGGTTAGAATATAGAGATACTGATCAAAAAAATAATGTGTATGGGAGATACAATGAAATCTAGTAACGAGATGCGAATCAACGTGACTGAATGGTATATAAAAAGAATGATTAATAATCTACATTGCCATCAAATATGTTACAATTTATGTGGAGTACTCCTGCGATTTATATAGAGCATCCAACAATATAAAGTCCAGATCTCTTTATCATGAACCTATGAAGGTTGCGACTCTTTCGATGAGTAACGAATTCTCGCCCAAATTTCTTTGTTATATTCTTATTACTTTATGAGTTTTCATTTAAATCACTTCAGACCCTTTTCTCTATAAATAGCATGATAGTTAAGAAAAATCGGATAGTGTCTCATACACAAAAACGAAATAATGGAGTCTAAACAATTTTTCCATTCTTCGCATGGTTTTGGCGTTGCACTGATTATTGTTACTAAAAATATCGAAAATAGTTAAGGTATCTCGTTCACAAAGTGTGAAAACATGAAATCCACCCAGAGGAGTAAGAAGTATAGAATACAGCTTGGGATATTAACCGAGAAGGGATGTTTATAGCTAACCATTGTGAAGACTGAAGTTCTAGCTTTCATTTTGTCCGCCCATTGACTATAAATATACGCTAACATTATCCTGTGATTTGTTGTTTATCTCCTGCATATCGAAAACGAAATTAATAACTTCTATATTGAGAATCTGGTTTCTTTGTTTTATTATTATGTACGTTGATCTAACACCGGTTCTTCGATCACATCTTATTATACGAATTGGAGAACTTGAAACCCACAAAAGGGATTAAATCAATGTATCTTATTCTTGTTCTCAAAGAACTTCACGTAAAAACGAGTAACAGGATTTACATAGCATACCTCTCTTCTACACGTAACTCATTGATTGTACTAGTGCCTCCTGTTTGATCATACTCCATATTTTTACTTTACTGTGTGGAGACTAATGTACTATATAATATGAAATACTAACGTCACTAGTAATTCATAACACTCCAAAATTGTAATACGGATATTATAATGTACACAAAAATACTTTCAGAAAATTTACTCGGACTCGCCCAGTTACACTGAACTCTACTGGGTAGGATAAAATTTTTTATCACAATAGTTTTCGTCATAAATAATAAAGATAGTAGTTACCCGATGTCATTAGTACTACTTACATTTCAGAAAGAATCAGACATTACGTCATTATCATGTGACACTCTGAACAAATGAATAGAGTATCATGTGAAAACCTATTACGTCACGTGATTTTTATTATTGTCGATTACTATAATAAATCGTATATCAGGCATTCATGATAATATTTTACATAATACGTTGACTAATGTAACCGAAAGTATTCGTGGATCACGGACATTAATAGGAAGATGCAATAACTTATCACGAAAGTTGTGTGTCTGCGAGCATTTCGGCCCAGTAACACTTTAGGAGAATGCCTTTTTTGGAATTGGCTGTAGATAATTGCTGTGGAAGCAGAATAATGCCATAAGGTGACTTCTTACTCATCGCCTTGGTACCTTTGTACCCTTTAGAAACTGTTCCTCTCGAATAGCATGACAAGTTGAAATTCTCGGGAAACAAACAGAACAGCAAGTTGAATGAAACGGAACGATTAAAACCGTGAAGGTTAGTAAAACACACCATCGAAAATATATTTACCACATGCCACGATTTAGTGGCTGCACATGTCCACGTAACATATTCTATTGCACCAGTATTAACCTATATGTTCCATACAAGAGTGGCCTTTGCTGCTGGTTTATTGTTTCGTGGGTCGTATTTACAGGTTTCTCATGATTATAGGACCGTATGAGAATTGCGGTGAGACGATACTTCTTATTTGTTTATTTATGCTATTTTGTTTCCACATTGTTGTTCTCTTGTTTCTGCATACTATTTCACCTTCATTTATGTGCAGACAGTAGTGGTTGCATTCGCTTTTCAGGAGCATGAGCATGATCATTATGGTTCTCTTCGCACCACACCGGTTACTAATTTCCTTTTTTTGACATTTATAATGAATGCGGGTGAGCCGCGAGGCCAATAGAAAGTTTGGTGGGTAACTAGGTTTACCTTGCTGAGCTACTTTCTGTAGCACCCTTTTTTTTATGTAACGTTTTAAAGAAATGATAAACATAAGTAATGGACGACGAAAATAATATATACAGGGATTGAATAGAACAGAACAAGAAATACTGTGACGAATCCACACTTTTTGCAAAATACACTCGATCAAAGAAGTTAGCGATTTATGATCATATCATAGAGAAATTCGTGGTCTTTGACACTCTGGACGCATACTGGGAGTTGTTTAACGAGACTCCCAACGAATACAAATGTTTCTCGGAAGTCGTATTCCGAGATGTACCGCAGTCACCTGTCATAGAACTTGGCCTTTCTTCGAATACAAGGTTTCCTGGTACTAAGATTGTCGAGATTCTCCGCACTGTGGTCGAAGGGATGCTAAAATTATTTCGTAACAATTATGGAATTTACGACAATATTGCTCGTGTACCTTCCTCTCCAGATGAGCTAGTTATCATGGATGAGATTGTACAAAAAGATGGCGTGTGGTATTATTTCTTTCACATCCATACTCCTACCTTTTATTTCCCAGATTACTCATTTTGTGCTGGATTTCGTAAACTACTTTGCGCATTACTGCCCTACGATATTCGTGTGTTGATTTCTAACCCTATTGATGATCCTTATCAGTTAGTGGGTATTTCTGGTAATTTCCTACTTAGCCTTGACAACCATAAACGCATCTCTCCTTATGGCCAGTTTCTCGGAACTAATTCTTCTGTTGACAAGAACGACCTGTTCGTTTCACGTTTCTCGGTGATGCATGTCCCTGCCGCATATGAACAGTTAAGACTCAAACCTTCATTCTTTGTTTTACGTGGCTCTTCTCCTCACTCTGTCCCAAAGGAATGCTACAATTCATCACTAGGTTCAATACCTAACGATAGTTCTAGTGTCCGCAAAAATGCCATCACCGGCATTCAACGAACTACGTCTCCCACAGCAAATGACTCTTATCCCAGTTGTCCACGTGACTTTTTACTGGACAATGTACAGCCTGCGTCTATCACAGAGAGTACGGGAATTGATGTTACTGACTCAAGCGATTCTCCTGTTCCATGCATAAATACAGAGCATGACAATGAATCAGAAGATAGTGGTTCTGTGGTTTTTGACGAAATAATTCCTGTGGATGTCTGCAGTCATTCAACGATGTCGCCTTCACCACAAATAGATTCCTACCACGCTTCTTGCGTAGTTCCACAATCTTCTACCGTGTTCATTTCAGAATCTTCTGGAAGATTTCGACCTTGTGACGACCCAAATCTCCTGACTGTCTACGCAGCAATAAATTTCATGGTTGTATTGTCTACTATTATCAAGAATATATGCCGTTGTTATTTGTGGCGCAATTCCCAGAATACAGACATAGACAATTCTTTGTTACCAGTAAAAGACATTCGCTCATTATCAACTGATCCTTCTTTTCGAAACAATTCCACAACATTCTATTCCCGTGGGACTTTCTTCGGGAGAAGTCTACACGCTGGTCATAAAACTAGGAAACATGTAAAAATTTCACATCAAACGAAAGTTATTCGGAATAAAAAAGTCGGCCTACTAGCAGGTGAGCATGGATCTGTTACGCAAAGTAATTCTCGTGGTGCGTTTCGCCTTGGAGGAAATATATCGTGGGATAACGTATGCGGAGTACTTCCTCTCTGTGCTAACACAAAAACTGAGTTCGTTGTACCAGTTTGTTGCTGGTTAATTTGCTATCAGAACAGGGTCCCAATTAATCCACCATGAAGATCCCTAAAGTGCTTTCATTGTGCTGTGTTCGTCCTATGAACCAGAAGAATAGAAAGCGTTTGCCAATTTAGTGGGAGTATGCCTACTAATAAACATAGGGGGGATATAATGATTTGACAATCGGAGGGGAATTTGCACGACAAAAATAGCAGGGGTTTTTGTGTCTACTTAAAAACATAAGAGACCCTCATTGCAACGGAATCAATATTTACACGTGAGCAATTTTCAGTGACCTAACAATGACCCCAACCATGAGTAAAAATATCATTCCATTTGTAAGCTATGTGAGTGCGGTTGAGTGATTATGCCAATAAGATAAATAGGGCATCATGATGATATCATGTGGTGATAACGCAGTTGTGCACTAATGATCCAGGCTAGGCAAAGTCTACGAAGTAAATCTTTCCCATATGTTGTCACATCGACTGCGAGGGAGTATCTAATCTAACTACAATGGATATAGGGAGGTGAGAAATTTTACTCGAATTCGGGGCATAGCAGTCTGGTGGATAAGTAATACCTTTATGATTATCTGACAGGTTAGTTTACTGGTAGACGACTTGCCATGCGTCAATTAAAGTATTTTTATTCTGTTACTTGTTGGAAAACTATCGTCTTTTCCTCACTAAAACGGTATCATCAACGAAGTGACGTGTACCAATAAGAATAGTAATATTGTTTCCTGTTGCGATAATTGGAGAATACCTTTACGTATAATTCTCATTTTAGTGATGTTATTGATGGGTTAATACTGTCTTCCGAAATTACAAACCATATACTATAGATGATTATAGATTGTCTTCTAGCAAAAAAAAGAATAAAGAACATGATCATGAACGAATTACAAACCGTAATGGTCATTCCATGTAATAACAACTAGTGACCCTCGATTTTGTTATCATTATATGAGAGTCTTTAACAAACGCTATTCGAAATTGTGTTGTGACACAGAGGATTTGCTTCACAAATAATCATGCCATACTTTCAGTTGTTTATAGGAAATGAATATTTGTTGCGGGGTTATACTAAGACTGTTACTATTTTTTTGTCAAGCTGGTGAGTTCGAGAAAGTGAGATAATTAAAACAGCTATAGTTTCTGTCTAACGGACTCTCGTAATCAAAGAAACGTGACACACTGAGTAATGTTTAGAGTGTCATATGATATGAGATCATGTGCATGGAAAAATTACGAAATTAATGTTGGGCCCAATCGTAGAATATAATTTTACCTCTTAAAATCTCACAGTACACGCTAGAAATATTTATAGTGTAGAAACGATTATCTTAGTACAACATTGCGGTAATGCGCCTTTACCTGTTTTAGAAGATAATTTAAAATCAAGACAAGTCTGCGTGTTTAATAATGGACCTGTGAGTAAAATCTTTCCTTACGTATCATGTGGTATTGTTGTTGTCCATGGTTACTATTTCTAGTTACATTAATATTATACTCTTTTTCTACAAGAATCCACATGTAAGCATACCAATTTTCTGTCGCTCTACAAATTGCTTGTCATACTTTTTCTGAATTGTAGGCCAAATTATATAAATCTCGCCACCATAGTTGCATGGTTTGTAAAGTAATATCCTCACTCGCAGAAAAATACTGTAAACATTGTTAACAGAATCATGCGTAGTCCTACTCAAATTTCATCAGTCGGAGACTGCTCGAAGAGCACAATGGTTACAATAGGAAGCAATGGCCTCTAGGTCAAATATTAACTTCGTCGTAACAAAATATATGTGGATATCTTACAAATTATATGTGGACATCGTTACAACCTTTTCGAGGGATCGGGTTTATGTAACAATCGTTACCAACATATGCAACAATCGTTATATTACTTCACAATGCTCTCCAGACTAAATTTCAGATATTTACTCCGTCGTATGCATCATTACCAGAGTTATGTAGCATGTGGACACCGTTACCAGAGTTATGTAGTATGTGGACTCCGTTACCAGAGTTATGTAGTATGTGGACACCGTTACCAGTATTATGTAACTGTTTTTAACAGAGTCACTCATGTACAACTAACATTTCGACAGTGTCCACGAAACAGTGTATGTTAACTATCGGAGAAATAAATGCTTTCCTGCGCATACTTGCAATAACCTCAAGGCAACTATCATATGCTCAGTCGTGAAAAAAATAAACGTGGTCATCATTACCAAAGAATGTAACAATCGTTATCAACTAATATATACTCAGTGAGGTATCCGTCGTTACCAGATTATGTAACAATCGTTCCAAAAATATAATGGTAATTATCGTTTCTAGCTAATATGGGCGTAGTCGTGGAAAATCCAATGCGACCATTGTTACCAGGATAGGTAACCCATCGTTCTACTTCGTACCCATAAAACCAGTGAAACTCGGCTCTACCCAAATGTTTTACTTCTTCGAAGGTCCTACGGACTAATTCGAGTGGTTATAGGACATCTGCTCCTATGGGTAGAGTTTAATAGGTACAATCGTTTCCAACTAACATACGTTCAGTTGTGGAAAGACAAATGCGGCCATCATTACAAAATTCGTTCCAGCCATTATATGCTCAGTTGTAGAAAGTGAATACTTCCATCGGTGTTAACAGGCTATTACTTGCGATAGAAAACGAAAGATTACTGTATTTATAGTTATGTCTTATTAATTCATGCCGCAGAAATGATCATGTGATACCCTGAACAAGTGTGTAGAGTGTCACATGACTTGGGCGAAACGTAATTGGCACAGTAAATCGACGATCAAAATATTGTTTTTTTTTCCTTTATTGAAGCATTATCACAGGAAAGGTTCAGGTAGGAAATAATGTCACGTGACCAAAATTCTGTGAATAAAATTCATGATTTCGAAAAATCACATTAAAATGGATATCGACTGCAAGATATCATTGGGTAGAAATACGAAAAGAATATAAGGGGGAAATAACGGGGATAGAATATGAGTGAACCGCCTTCATAATTATATAGAATAGGCTATTCCTTCGAAAGGCTACGCCAAAGTCCCTTCCCAAGTAAGTGAAGATTTCTGTATACGTTTTGTATGTTATTGGATTACAGTGGACAACCTGTAAGGCATAGCTTTGGTTTGCAATATAATTATATGATTCGGTTAATGAAAAGAGCGTGGTTGACTGTAAGATATCAACTGTAATATCACAGAGATAAGTGACATAAGAAAATATTGCCGATCCCCCAAAGGGGCTTACTATAGAGAACTGGAATGTACCTAGAGAATAATGCTAAAGACGAGAAGCGTAAGCGAATAAAAGAATCCTTTGATTTACGTCTCTACTGTAAATTGTTTTTTATTGGCAACAGAAATAATGTCCTATGTGATGCGTTACGTATATGTATTTGCTGTTATTATGAATTTTTCCGAAAACCCTGATAAAGTGACACGATTAGAGTCTCATATTTTTGTCAAAAATTGTGCTCTTCGAGCGGCCTTCGACTGTTTTTTAGTTACGTGCTTTTAGTGGACAAGCATCATTACAAAATTTATAGTGGTCGTAATAAGAAACGTGAAGATAACCGGATATACTAAAGAAGCAACGTTACCAGAATTACGTAACAGCCTCTATCAACTAATTTATATGCTTTGTAGAAAAATATGTAAAAAATCTACTTCGTAGTCTCTCTGTGTATATTATTTACCCTTCAGGGTGACAATCGTATCACACAAAAAAATATATACGGTAGCTTGGAAGCAAGATGTTTTATGCGCCTTTTGGCAGTCTACGAATGATTATGACTGGGCTCCGCCAAAAATTATACGACCATCGTTACAAAGATTCACAGGGACATTCGCCACCAAATATGAACTTTACGGTATCCTCGTTTCCAAAGAATATGCGAACAACTTTACAGAAAAACGTACTTTATTGATCTAATGATTTCCAGAAATATACGAACGTCGTTACCAAAATTCATAGCAACAATCGTTACAACACTAGACTGTTATTGTCATTACATCACTTCCCATAAAACCAAATGTTTTATAATTCGAGAGGAGGTCCTACCTGACCGTCTTGCCGCTCAACCACGCAATGGTCTTAGGGTGTTCCTAAGGTAGAAACCACGTTTCTAGTTTGGAAGAACCTTAATGGACAAATTTTCTATAAATGACGATTACCTTATAATATGGTAGTAATCTACTTACGTCACCTTACATTATTATTATTCACCCTTTCCGGTGTAATACCCGTTTTTAGAATCAACACAATCTGTGATTTACTTTTTATACCACTAGCGGGAAATCGGTTAATAACCTGGCTTGTATAATTGTGGGCTATTCGCAATGAGAAACAGTTATCTTATTAAAACATAATTCGAAAAATGAACGACCATCTGTGACGTTATTTCGTGATTAGTTAATAATATCGTGGAATCATTAGAATACGAGAAATTTTACTTCGTAGGCGGAGCCTAGTGAAACTACTCTATATGATACTTCCTAACAGACAAACACTCTTTAGAATATGAAATGCACTCGAATCTAACCATTTAGTTTCTAGGAGAGCATCTGCAATCGAATTACGTTGGCAAAGTGTGGTTTTTGTTGCTGCACGTAGAAAGGTCAATAATATCTCCCGTGTATGACAATACCAATTATAAGACACACGGGCTAATAGTTTTTCTACTTTTGTAGATTCATGCGGCAGACCCTTGCTGACTGGGCAATCATCGTCATTATATTTTATCCTGGTACATTCGAAACGACAAGGCCATAATCCTCTGGAACGTAAAATATCGAGGGGCGTTTTGCCTGTAGAATCTTTGATTGCTAGGTTAGCACCAAGCGAAACCATCATGATTATCTCAGAGACAGTTGCGGTTGGACTTTTCATTCTTGCGTGTAATGCGGTCTGCTGGGCGAAAGGATCTCGATAATTAATGTTTACTCCTTTGTACGCTAACCATCGAATTATGTGATCTATTCTTCCACTATAAGCAGCTCTATAATAAATCAGGTTAGATTGTAGTACCCCTCCATGTTCTACCAATAATTTGAGTCTAGGCAGCGGACTTTTTTGCAGAGACAAAGTAACTAGTGCGTTGTTCCCCCACATGTTCACCGAATTAACACAAATGCCTGCATCCAACAAGAAGCTCAATACTTTCCTGTTTTGTTCTCCTTTTGTCGCAAGATGCAGCAAAGAATTATCATAGATATCGACACTCGATAGACCATAACCTATGTCGAACAAAAACTGCAAGAACCTTCTTGACATCCTGAGTTTACTAAAAGCAACATGTAGAGCACTATTCTCAGACGAGAGTAGAGAAAGTGGTTGAACCATCCTGTATAACTGTTGGTGATTATATGTTAATATTGACCTCTCTGCTTCGTTGCAGCATTGCAGATATTCTTTGTACCTTATGTATGGCGCCTTTTGTGTTTCCATTATTGCAGTCGAGTCTGTTAATTAACAAGCATGAAAAAAGTGTTCAAACCATTTCTTTTCTCGTTTGGTGTGGTTAGAAGAGCTGTCAAAGTGAAATTACACCGGTAATAGTATTCGTTGATGCTAGAAAATTTTGATTGAAGGCACTCTTGCATGGTGAAACCTGTTATAGTTCGTAGATACGGCTAATCTCTATGATGACTATGATTCTGTTCTAGAGAACATATGGACAGGTGGGACTAATCATTCCTAGTGACAAAATTACTCTTATTTCTATGGTGTTCCTACGAGGAGTATTTTTGTTTTTGTGATCTTCACTAATTTCTCCTTCTCGTTCTTCATCTAGCCTATATCCATAAGTACTACCTTCAATGATCTTTGGATTTATCATATATGTTTACCAAGGATATGTGTCAAATTTCGAGAGTTTCACACTCTAATACCAACTCTGCTTTATCAATTTGTTCACCTTATATTTCTGTATTATCTGTTCATCGCAAGGTCAACTCGTTTGGTAGAGCCAATGATACTGAAAACTTCGACACATGATATACTGTATAGAACTTAGTAATACGTTGTTACCTGTTGTGGTTTGAGATAAGACAGTAGTGGAGATGGTAACGAATGGTTCAATTTAGTGGACAATGGTGTTACTGATCACCTTTATTATTCTTCAGAAGTGGACAAATTGAAAAATCTTCTTATGAGGACGTTAAAGGTTGACAGCAGTATGCGGTTCATGGGTGAATATATAGTGGCCGCTATTTTGGCGAAAAGGCATGGATATTTTTAGAATAGATGTATTACATGGAAGAGCATGTGAATATATGTTAGACATGCGCAGTTTTATTGAAATAGGCTAACTGCTCACATATTATAGCAATGTCAATATTGATTTGGCGGAACTAGGAATATTGATACGGGATTGCCCATTCTGGTATGGACGTTTTAACTGAAAAATTTCGTTAATTTATTGTAATTACTTATTTTGGATTCTTATCGGATTCTTGTTTGGAAAGATGATAGTAGTAGCCGATGAAAACGTATAGGCAAATTTTGGTGGACACATATTACCGTTGATATCAAAAGATGATTCGGAATGGACAAACAAATACGAAAAAATTTTATGAGGAACGTTAAGGTGTCATCAGTATGAGATAATAGATTGATTGTTCAAGTTCTAACTCCCACATTTGTCGTATACTTGCCCGCAATATCCGTACATTTTATAACAAGGTCAATTTTTTCTGTTGAACTACGAGTACTTAACAATTTCGATACACGATATATGGAACTTGGTTAATCAACTGTTACCCATTTTAGTTTGGATCATCATCGGATTTGTGTTTTAGAAAGAGAGAGCCAATGATATTGGATCTCTATCAAGAAAATGTTGATGCTAAACCTGTGAGTATGTTGACGTTAAAATAGGGGTCACAAGTGACTGTTTAATGTAATCTTTTTATCTTCGATATTTCACCCACTACATCTCTATTACAGTTTCCATTATTGCTATCAACACCGAACAATCCGTAATTACAATCATTATGATCACATCCTGTCATCATTTCCATTGCCTGAATTATCTGCCTAATCCTCTCCCATAATCACAGCGAAGAGCTATGTATTCATGCCCTTGGCTCTGCCTACGAAGTAGATTCCACTTAGAACTGGAGAGGTTAGTAACTGCGTTTAATGCTCACATTTTTTACAAGACATGGTTGTAGATGAGTAATAGACAAAACATATATAAAATTTATCTTTACTTTCTTTGAAGGCCTATTTTATAGACCGATTTTCTTCGTCTTCGAAGTGGACCAAGATATTCTCCGACTGAAACAGATCAAGGCAATGCCACATAAAAATCACGTGATTCTGATCATTCCCCGAGGGAACTGTTTTCGGAAATTAGTTTTACCGTTAGTTCCTGTATTCCCGATTTTTATTCTCTCTGTTAGCTAAGATTTCCACGATATGCATAAAGAAAAATAGTTGTTGTCTATAACAGAAACAAAATAAACAATCTCACTAGCAGCATTTTCCGATATTAACTCTATTCTGATTTCATTTGACGATTTTCTAAAATAAATGATCATCAGTTATAATTCCATGAGCCGAAAAAGTATAAACAAAGTCGTCAAATTTCTATCAAGATGAATCGTTCGCCCAAAATTTTCCCGTATGATTTTTCGCTTTGCTCAGTCGGAGAGCCCTTGGCTGGGCGAAGTCCACGCTCATATTACAGAACGGACTGAACTGTAAAATTTGAGCGACTCGAAGTCGTCAAAGTCACGTGATTTCCGAGACGGCCGTCCCGGAAATTACAGAACGGACTGAACTGTAAAAATTTCAACGACCAGAAGTCGTCAAAGTCACGTGACTTTGTCAAGAGATACCTCATTACGAATTTCTTGGAGGCAGGCGATTCTTTACTACCAAAGAGAGTCCTTTACTAACGGTGAAGGACGTTGAGCCCGCCTCCTGGGGAAGTTCTCTTCTCTTGTAATACTTGTATGGAAACATATAGGTTAAATGCGGGTGGTCGTTAAATTGTTACCATTTTTATTTCATAAAGAAAATCCGCTTTCATCGTTGCAATATGCTTTATTTTTGTCTGCATAAATATTTACCCGTAATCATCAAAACATTTGTTGTACATCATTAAAAGGAATATGTTTTTACCGTATAAACACCCCATTCGCCTGATCGGCAAAGGATATAACCTTATCCATCTCGTCTCAAATGCATAGGTTATATCCTCTACGGAAACCATTGTTTTTATTGGCCAATATTAAGCAGAGATCATGTGACCTTATAAGCGCGGACATTTTTGTCCTCATAATTTGAGGACATTTCTGTCCTTGTAACTTGAGGACAATTTTATCCTCGTAATTAAGGACATTGTTGTTCTTGTAAATTGAGTATATTTTGTCCTTGCAACTTTAAGGACATTTTTGTCCTCGCAACTATGAGGACATGATTTTTGTCCAACTATAAGGACACTTTTGTCCTCTTATTTAAGAACATTTCTGTCCTTGTAACTTGAGGACAATTTTGTCCTTGCAATTGAGGATATTTTGTCCTTATAATTGAGGACATTTTTGTTCTTGTAATTGAGAACATTTTTGTCCCTTTAATTGAGGACATTTCTGTCCTTGTATTGAGGGGACATTTTTGTCCTTATAATTTGAGGACATTTTTGTCCTTGTAATTAAGGACATTGTTATCCTCATAATTTGAGGACATTTCTGTTCTTGTAATTTGAGGACAATTTTGTCCTTGTAATTGAAGACATTTTTGTCCTTAATTGAGGACATTTCTGTCCTCGTAATTTGAGGACATTTCTGTCCTTGTAATTGAGGACATTTCTGTTCTTATAATTTGAGGACATTTTTGTCCTTACAATTGAGGACATTTTTGTCCTCATAATTTGAGGACATTTTTGTCCTTGTAATTAAGGACATTATTATCCTCATAATTTGAGAACATTTCTGTTCTTGTAATTGTAGACATTTTTGTTCTTGTAATTTGAGGACAATTTTGTCCTTGTAATTGAAGACATTTTTGTCCTTAATTGAGGACATTTCTGTCCTCGTAATTTGAGGACATTTCTGTCCTTGTAATTGAGGACATTTCTGTTCTTATAATTTGAGGACATTTTTGTCCTTACAATTGAGGACATTTTTGTCCTCATAATTTGAGGACATTTTTGTCCTCATAATTTTAGGACATTTTTGTCCTTGTAATTAAGGATATTATTATCCTTATAATTTGAGAACATTTCTGTTCTTGTAATTGTAGACATTTTTCCTTGTAATTGAGAACATTTTTGTTCTTGTAATTTAGGATATTTTTGTCCTCATAATTTTGAGAACATTATTATCCTTATAATTTGAGGATATTTTTATTCTCATAATTTTAAGGATATTTTGTTCTCAAAATCTTTACATTTTTATCCTTATAAATTTGAGGATATTGTTATTCTCACAATTTGAGAATATTTTTATTCTCATAATTTAAGGACATTTTTGTTCTTGTAATTTGAGAACATTTTGTTTTTGTAATTTTGTTCACATAATTTGAAGACTCATAATTTAAGGACATTTTTGTCCTCATAATTTGAAAATATTGTTATTCTTGTAATTTTGAGGAAAACAATTTTATCTTCATAATTTTGAGAATATTTTTGTTCTCATAATTTTGAGTATATTTTATCCTTATTTTAGTCTTTATAATTTTGAGAACATTGTCATTCTCATATTAACTTGAGGTTATTTTTGTTCTTATAATTTTAAGGCCATTTTGTTCTCATAACTTGAAGGCATTTTTGCCTTGTAACTTGAAGACATTTTTCCACTTAAATATTTGAAATTAGTTTTATCTATATGTTCTATCTAAATTAGGCAACAGTTTTTATCTACTAACTCATTGTATGTCTAATGGATACTTTTACTAATTTTATTAGAAGTTATTTTAACATTACATAATACAGCATATTGTATTGAAAAATAAAAATTTATAAAAAATAAAAATAATTTTTAAAGTTAATAAATTGATATATTCCATTAATTATTACATTTTGCTAATTTAATATAATTTTTTTTAATATAGTATGATGTATTGCATTAATTGAATCAATATATTAGACTAGCTATTGGACTGCTAGATCAAAAGTTATTCACAAAATATGTTTTTATCAG